GCAACAAGAAGGCCCTTGCCAGATGCCGGCACCTTGATCTTGGACTTCCCATTCTCCAGAACCATGAGCCAATAAATTCTATTCACCATAAATGACCCAGTCTGTGGTTTTCTGTTACAGCAGCAGAAAACAGACTAAGACTGGAGCAACCAAGGAAAGGGGACACAGAGCTCCCTGCTTTACTCTTCATAACTGCAGTATGAATCTATGATTACCTCAAAATACAAAGTTTAATTTTAAAGACAGCATGCAGCATATAATAAGGGCTATATAAAATGCTGGTAAAATTATTTAAATAATAATAATGACTGTCCACAAGAACAAAATAAAAACACAGCGGTAATTTAGACAATATAATGAAAGAAAACATCCCATTTACAACAGCAGCAAAAGAATTAAATACCTATGAAAAAATTTAGTAAGAACTATTAAAAATCTGCATTGTAAAACCATTTATTTTTTAATTTTTCATGTAAAACCAGTTTTTAAATCACTCCTGAAAGACACAAAAGTAGACGTGAACAAATGGAAAGATAGTTCGTTCTTGGTTAGGGCAACTAAACATCCATAAGATGTAAAATTCTCTCTTGAATTCAATCATAAATTTACTGCAATCCCAATTTTTAAAGTGTCAATCAGCATTTTTATGGAGCTAGACCTCTTGATACTAAAGTTCATCCAGAAAAATAAACATTCAAGAAAAGCTAGAAAAGGAAGGAAAAGAAAGGCTGAACTTGCCAAATGCTAAAACACACAACAGAGCCTTCAAAATTAAAACAGTATGGCCATAGTACATGGTACAGGGCAGCCCATGAAATAGAGTGAAAGTCCAGACACAGATGTGCTAACCATAGAGACAGAGTATGTGACAAAGATGGACCTTAAGTCACTGTGGCAAAGGGGGACTTCTGAGTAAGTCCTAGTGGGACCAGATGGCCACTGGAAAAAAGATAAAAACAGATCCATCCCTCACACAACAGACAAGAGATCTAGACAGTTAAGAAAAAAAAAAGACGGGAGAAACATTGCACAAGGAGAACACACAAGTGAATTCCTTTGTAACTGGGGAGTGAAGAAAGGCTTTTTCCCTCTGACTCAATAATCCAGATACAATAAAAGAAAGGACTGATCCATGTGACTACATTAAAAGATCTAATGTTTACATAGCCAGAAAAAAACCAAAAGACAAATGACAAAATGGGGAGAAAATATCTGCACTATTTATCACAGGCAAAGAGCAAATACCCTTAATATACAAGGAACTTTTAATACTTGATGAAAAATGCAAAAACTCTATAGAAAAATGGGCAACATAAGTAGACAACTCATAACATATGAAAACATGTTCTACTCCACTCAATCAGAAAGACACAAGTTAAAACTACCCTGTAATTCCATTACTCACCCATCAGATGAACAGAATTCAAAATCTGGATGACACAGACCAACAGTAAGGCAAAAGGGGGCAGGCACCCTAATTAATACACTGCCAGCAGGAACAGAACAAGATCTCCAGCCCCTCTGGAGAGAACTGGGACAGTATCCAACAAGACAATCTACGCATTTACCCTTGACCCAGCAAGCCCACTGCTGGGAACTCACCCTGGAGATTCAGCTCCCACAGTACAGAAGTGCACATGCACAGGACCGTTCATCTCAGAAGCATCCATCCCTGATCATCATCCCTGAGAAGTCTTGGAAACGATTCAAATACCTGAACACAGGAACCTGGTGGAACAAACCTCGGTACATCCACACTGTAGAGTGAGCAAGCCCTTTAGGATGCCTGGGCATGACAGCCAAGCATAAACAACGCCAACCCAAGGGGGCACTCAGATGAGAAGCCGATAACTGTGTGGTCTCAGAGTCTCCCCACAGATCACTTATTAGCTGCAAGGAGAAAAAAAATGTTAAGTCTGCAGTGGCGATATCACCGAAGAGCACCACAACCAACCTCGCCCAGGATGGACACGTGCACGTCTGAATGTGGGAAGGCCGCAAGGACAGCCCCTTGCTCGCACCTACTGCCCCGGGAAGGCACAACCTGACTCTGACCATGAGGAAGCATCAGATGAACCCAAGGAACATTCACATTAAAATGTTTTTAAAGAAGGGAGGCTAAAATGTTAAAAATAAAATCATAAATGACAAAAAAAAAAAAAGCTGAGGAACTGTTCCAGATTTAAGGAGGCTAAAGAGACACAGAAACCAGACACAGGACATTATCCTGAACTGGATACTGTATTGGAAGAAAAGGCCTTCAAGGACAGGCATGGATCAGTTCAACAGACCTGGAACACAGGCGGGAGATTAAAGTATTGGTTCTATGTTAAACGAACTGCAGTTGACAATTGTACTGTGGTTATGAAAGAATATCCTTCATCTTGAGAAACGCTCACTGAAGCCTCATGAAGGGTCAAGACTATGATATTTGCAAGTTACTCACAAATGGTTCAGAAAAATGTGTGCATCTACACATGTGCGCACACAGAGGGAGGAAGGGAGCATGAGAGCAGGTGCAAATAAAGCAACGGGGCCCATGGGAGCCACCAGTGAACCTGGATCAAGAGTAACCCAGCGTTCCTTGTCTTTCTGCATCTTGTTCATAAGTTTGAGATTATTTCCAAGTAAAAAGTTTTTAAAGAAATAAAGTCCTACTATGCCACTTTTTTACAATGCTAATAAGATGAAGCAAGCCACAGATTATGAAAAAATACACAATATGAAAATGCGACACAGTATTTGTATCCAAAATAATTTTTAAATACTCCTTCTCAATAATAATAAGACAAATGACCCAATTCAAAAATGGGCAAACCAATGGAAAGGCCACTTCACCAAGGAAGATTATGAAGGGCCAGCAAACTCATGGGCAAATACTAAACACAGCAGTCATGGAGGAAGCCACAGAGGTCACTTCACACCCACCAGCACGGCTAAAATAAAGGACAAAACCAGAGGCAGGTGCGGATGCGGCTCCACTGTAACCCTCTGGTGGTGCTGGCCCGCCTGCCTGGAAAGACTGGCACATATTAGAATGATGCCATTTAAAAGCCCTGCGACCTGGCGGCTCCGCACCATGTGTTCACCAAAGAAAAGTGAAAATATGTTCATAAAAAGATTTGCCCAACAATGTCCCAAGCTGCGTTCTTCATCAACTGAGGAAGTCCACCCCCAGAGAATGAGAAAGCAAATTCACACCACAGAAAACTCAGCAACAGAAACAGATGAGCCGCACGGGTGAGCCCCAGCCACTGTGCTGATGGGCCCTGGGGCCCACTCTGTGTTCTTCGCTCCAGGGAAGCCCAAGAGCAGGGGAACTGAGCCATGGCTGCAGCAGGCTGAACAATGCCCCCCAAGACATCGCATCCTCATCCCTGGACCCTGGAAATTGTACTCTGTAAGGAAAGATGGTTTTTCTGGGTGCAATGAAGTTCAGATCTTGAGAAGGGAACACTGACCCAGATCAGGTGGGCGAGCCCTCGGTGCCATCACGAGCGTCCTCATGATCATGCTCTCCGGCCTGAGGCACACCCCAAGACCGTCCTCAGCATCTCATGCTCCTTCTCAGGCTGTTCCTGAGAGAGCTGCCCAGTCACCATGGCAGGCTAGATCAGGCCAGATCGCCATAGAAGAGGTCCTGTCAGCCATTTTTTGGTTTCTAATTTACTTGTTAAAATGATACAGAAGTACCCCAATCTGCAGTTTCAGTGACCCTCAGTCAACCTTGGTCTGAAAATATTAAATAGAAAACTCCAGAAGTCCTAAACTGTGCACCACTCTAAGCAGTGTGATTAGATCTGGCACTGTCCTCCCAGAATGTGAGTCACGCCTCCATCCCACCTACCTGCCCAGTAGGCACTAGCCACCCACTGCAGTTGAGAGGTAGAGAAAGAGACAGACACATTCACTTCCGTTACTGTGTATTATGATAACTGTTCTATTTTACTGTTATTGTTGTTTGATCTCTTACTGTGCCTAATTGAGGAACTGTATCACAGGAATGTATATGCAGGAAAATACCTAGCATGTACTGTGTAGGGTTCAGTACTACAGAGATTTCAGGCACCCACTGGGGTCTTGGAACACACGCCCCCTGGATAAGGCAGAATACAGGATTGGCTTTTTCAAACAGAAAACTAAATCTTAAGAGTAGCAGGATTTGGATTTTTCAAAGAATCTAAATTAATGACATAAATGATATCCACATATTTTATTTCTTTCAACTGAACCTATAAAATCTTACTCTTAGTACTATATAGGTATATATAAAGTTCCCTATGAGAAACCATCTCTAACTTGTGCAAATTCAAGCTTTATCACACTTAACTAGAAATACATTAAAATGGCCTCATTTTTCAAAATAATTACCAATTCAATAGTCCTGAATTAATGCTATTATGATACATGAAACTTACTGACGTATTAATTACTCCCAGCCAGCAGAATGTATGTGATTTGTGAAATATACATTTGGTCTTCATCCAGTTTCCTGGTATACAACTCATGAAATCCCTGGAATTTCCAAAGTGCTATCGATTGTGTGCTAATGAGATGACCATGGTGGGTAGCCCCCATGTGGCTTCTGGATGGGGTTACTCACAGAAAGACTAAGGCAGGGGGAGAAGAGGAACTGAAGGTCACGTTTATCATCAATGGTCCATGTTTAATCAATCACGTCTACATAATGAAGTTTCCATAAAAACCCAAAAGGACTGGCTTCAGAGAGCTTCTGGACAGCCGAACCCACAGAGGTGCCCAAAGGGCGGTGCCCAGGAGGGCACGGGAACTCCAAGCTCTTCTCACATTTTTTGCCCTCTCCATTTCATCTGTATCCATTGTAACATTCCTTACAACAGGCTGGTCAATGTCAGTGAAGTGATTTGTACTTAGTATGTATAATAATCACGCCCGTTTTTAACGGAAAGAGCATCTACATCTATCCTCAGCGCACGGAGCTCTTCGCCAGAGGAACCTGAGTGCAAAAGGGCTGCTCTTACATTGCCGTCCACTCCTGCAGGGCTGCTGAACACGTACTCCAGCTGGAAGACGACTGCAAACGCAGGGTGGCTGACCATCTCCGGGAGGCGGAGGCGGCTTCTCAAAACCAGAGCTTGGCTTCCAGAGCTGAGTCAGAAACACAAACCGGGGGCCCATTAGAGCTCCAGCTCCCGTCTTTCCCACATCCACACTGACCACTGCCACCAAGAGCCAAAAGGACACCATTGCTCTTTTCTTTTTTCTTTTTTTTTTTTTTCTTTAGAGATGGGGCTCTCACTGTGCTGCCATGGCTGGTCTCAAACTCCTGAGCTCAAGTAACCCTCACTCCTCGGCCTCTCATTGCTCAAGCCTTTTCCAAATCACCTAAGCTTGCCTGCAGGCCTAATACAGCCAAGTTACCAGCAAATGCCACAGAAGATGGAGGCTCCTTCTTCAAGGCTGGCCCACGGCAGAGGACAGCTGGTCTCTGCCTGGCACCATGAGAGAGGAAAGGCACATCGCCCTGCAGTGATGTCTGTGACACCTGATTTGGGAAGCACCAGATTAAACAAGAGCAGCAGGTCTTGCTGCCCCCTGGTTCTCTGTTCTATGCGAAACTAATCACAGAGCACGTCTAGAAGGCAGCATGCAAGGCCTCCACAGACCCTCAGCAGCCACAGCTGGAAGCATCCGTAATGTTAACTCCAAAATTGTCAGAGCACAAAAGAAAAACAAAGTGTGTAGGGGGCTTTTTCCAAACTTCCAATTCCAAGGTTTGTTCCTAATGGGTACAACTTAGCAAGAGGAAAGAAAGAGAACGAGGAAGAACTCGCACGTGGATGAGTCCACACTTGACATGCACAAACGACCTCATTTCATCCTGATCTCTTGTATGTCCCCATCCAGCCCTGGGGACCCAGGAGGCAATACCTGGTCTTGGAAGAAGAGACCACTTTCCTGCTGAAGCTGGCGGAGCGCGTCAAGGCCACGTCCATTTCGGGTACCAGCACAACCACCTGCGGCCTCTGCACGAAGCCCAGACCGTTGTGCACGCCCACATGCAGGCGCCGTTCCAGGATCTCCAGGGCACCACCGTCCAGCAGGCCACATCCCTGGAAGAGGCACAGGCAGAAGGAATGAGCCCTGGCACAGACGGCAAGAGGGAGCTCGCCCGAACCCCTGAGAGAAGAAACCGGAACAGAAGTTGCAGTGAACTCCAGATCAGATGATGCTTAGTCAAGATGAGTCCAAGCAAATGACAAATACAGCACCCGATCCCCAGCCTGGCCCTGGGGCATGGCCCGGGTAGGTTTCAGCATTTCAACACAGCATGACCCTCTCAGTGCAATGCACACCCTCAAATGCATTGATCCCCAAACCCCGACACTAGCTTTCCAAGGTTAAGCTGACCATCTCAAAATGCAGCAAACTCCTATTTGGCTCCTTCAAGACTCCTCCAAGGTCCCACAGCCCACTTACCCAGAGCCCACTTCCCTGGAGCCCACTTCCCAGAACCCACTTCCCCAGAGCCCACTTTCCTGGCGCCCACTTCCCCGGAGCCCACTTCCCTGGAGCCCACTTTCCTGGCACCCACTTCCCCGGAGTCCACTTTCCCGGAGCCCACTTCCCTGGAGCCCACTTCCCAGAACCCACTTCCCCAGAGCCCACTTCCTGGCGCCCACTTCCCCGGAGCCCACTTCCCTGGAGCCCACTTTCCTGGCACCCATATCCCCAGAGTCCACTTTCCCAGAGCCCACTTCCCCAGAACCCACTTCCCTGGACAATGCTGGAGAGGTGGTCAGGGGCAGAGCTCATCACATTTCCACTCTGTCTACCCAGAAACCTGAGACTTGGCTTACAAGGGGAACCATGCTTAGGCACTACATCATAAACCTATACAAACAGAATCTGCCCCACAGTGGTTACTTGATATTAAAGTGTTTCATCTAAACAAAAAATGTACAGGCGCCCTAACAAATGAACAAGGATATGCCCCCTAGTTCTTAGTGTTTATTAAATTATGTGATCTTTACAAAATGATCCCTGAATTTTCAAGTTTTCTTTACTGTCAATTAATCAAGCTGAACAGACCTAAATACACCCTATTAGTCTTCAGATAATGAAAATAAAACTATGCAGATAACTGAGTATCTGCCAGTTGGACTGGAACAAAAATATAAAGATAGCAAAAATACGTAATAAAGTGATTTTTATGAGAATATATAAAATTCAACAATGATACTGCTGAAACATCTCTACCCTCACACAATCCACCCTTAAAAACAAGAAAACAGCAGGAACTACACCAAGGAAATGGATGTCGCTACTTCAATCCTATTCTCTGCTTTGTGTTTATGTAAGCCCAAATTATGTGGAACTGCATTTTCAAGAATGGGAAGGAATCAAACAAGTCCAGCTCATTATCTCCCTCTCTCTCGCCCTCTCTCTCTTTCTCTCTCTCTCTCTCTCTCTCTCTCTCACACACACACACACACACACACACACACACTGAATAACTTGCTAACTTCACAGACTACTAGGATGGGCACCTGAACCATTCATTCTCACAACTCAATATTACAGCCCTACTATGTGCCAGCCCCCATTCATGCCCATCACGTGTCATGGTAAACAAAACAAGGTCCTTGTCCTGGGGATGCAAACACTCCCCACAGGAGACAGATAGTAGCAGAGAAGGTGGCCAGCTGCTCCCAGGAACGGCTGAGAGCCCGGGAAGAATGCAGGGTGACAGCTGGAGACAGGGTGGCAAGGGCAGGAACAGCACCCGTGCAGGACAGTCAGGGGACTCCGCCCAGACCTGAAGCTCTGCATGCAGAGATGGGCAGGAAGAACGTTCAGGAAAGTCAGCTACGTGCTCCAGGATCCACGCAGGGACAAGCATGAGTCCGAAGCCGCGCAGGTGGAGGCAAGCCGGAGTCCAGGACTGCAAACGGGCCCAGGAAGCGGCACACAGTGAGGCAGAGAAAGCGGCAAAGACCCAGTCACGCACATCTTGGAGGGCCAGGAGCCTAGGGCTCAGTCCAAGGGCAATGAGAAGCCAGCAGCATGTTTTAAACACAGAAGAAAAATGGCTGAATTTATGTTTTTACCTTGATCTTAGCCAAAAGGCCGAGAAGAGATGAATTTATGTTTTTAAAAGAACTCTTTGACAAATGAATGAAAAATATGTTCTCTGCGACTTTCAAGTGAACATGATAGGGACACTTCCTCAGAGAATTTCCTTCCCGCAAAACCTAAGGAGCAGAAAATGCCACCAATCAAGGATGGGGGCTAACAGAACACAATGGCCTTCAGGACCCGGGCCAAGACAGGACCCAATCCTTGAAGCTCAAAGTGGGGAGGGCAGGCACCATGCCCAACTCTGCCTCCACCCCAGGAGTTACGGCCGAGGTGGCAAAACCCTGGGAATTCCACCAAACCCTCATGGCAATTGACTCATTCACAGCTCTGGGAAAGGGCTCTTTAAAGCCATACCAACTCTGGGAAAGGGCTCTTTAAAGCAATACCCTTTGCCCTGTAACCTGGAGTCCCCTACCTCTCCGACTCTGGACTTGGCCAGTGACCTGCTTTGGCCAATGGGAGAGTAACAGATTTAATCCAAAGAGAGGCTTGAAAATGTCTGCACACTTCCAACTTCTCTCTTAAACACCTGCCCGCACAAGAGCAAGCCCAGACTGACTGCCACGGGAGGAGAGGCCACAGGGAGCCACGCCAACCAAGGTCATCCTAGACTGGCAGCCCCCAGCAGACCAGCCAGCTCATCACAGGCCCATGAGGATTTTTCAAGAAAGTCCCTTTTACCTACTGCTCGAGATTCTATTAAGAGTTAGGTTATACATGCAAGAATGCTCAGCCACAACCTACAAACAGCCCAAAAGTCCATCAACAGTAGAATGATCCATGAATCCTAGTGCCCTCACACAGACAACCATGCAGCAAAGAAAGTGAGCAAATGGAGCCACACCCACTGCAGACTCGCAGGAGCACAGTTAAGCAAAAGATGCAAAAAGAAAACAGAAGAAAAAAGTATGACTTCAATTAAAGACAGGTTAAAAGCAGGCAAGCCTGTACTGTTTAGAGATGCATCTGCAGGTAATAAAACCAGAACAAAAAGCCAAGACGTGATTAGCACAAAGGTCTGGGAAAATGGGCGGGGAGGAAGATGCAGCCAGGACGAGATCCACAGGGCTCTGTGGGTGCCAGGCACAGGGCCTCCCTCCACTGTCCTTCCTCATGTTGTGCAGTCAGGCAACTACACACTTCTGTGGGATTCATCATGAAAAAGGCGTGAATGAAAAGGACTCGAAGCAATAGCACGCCAGTCTCTTGGCTCTCTGCAGGTAAAGCTTCTCTTTTTCTGTTATTATACTTTAAGTTCTGGGGTACATGTGCAGAACATGCAGGTTTGTTACATAGGTATCCATGTGCCATGGTGGTTTGCTTCACCCATCCCCCCATCATCTACATTAGGCATTTCTCCTGTTATCCCTCCCCAGGTCTCCACCCCCTGCTTTTCCTCCCCTAGCCCCCCAACCCCGACAGACCCTGGTGTGTGATGTTCCCCTCCCTAGGTCCATGTGTTCTCACTGTTCAACACTCACTTATGAGTGAGAACATCAGTGTTTAGTTTTCTGTTCTTGTGTCAGTTTGCTAGGAAAGACAGTTTCCATCTTTATCCATGTCCCTGCAAAGGACATGGGCTCATCCTTTTTATGGCTGCATAGTATTCCATGGTATATATATGTGCCACATTTTCTTTATCCAATCTATCATTGATGGGTTTTTGGGTTGGTTCCAAGTCTTTGCTATTGTGAACATGATGGAAACCAGCTCAACCCTGTATGTGGGTGCCCTGAGTCCCAGTAGTGACGAGGGAGTGAAAAAAGAAGTAAGACAAAGACAAAAACAGCATGGGTCCGGGGGGCCAATGCATTCTCCCCGTGCAGCCTGAACCAAGTTAGCTCTGGGCTCCACATGCTTTTATTGGGTGCATTATCTTGTTAATCTTGCAGGCTGTGGGGAAAGGTAAGAAGGCAGATGAGGGGGAAGCATGTGTATTCTGCAGCATTCAATAGCAAATGTGGTTCTTCTAAGAAATGCTAACTAAGGACCCTGAGTTTTACCACCCATTGTTTATCCAGGTGCATGCGCCAAGAGGCACAGCAGATGAGGCGGATAAGACACCATAAGGTCTGAGCATACACAGTGTATCAAGGGGCTTTTATCTCCTGAGCATTGTCGACACAGAGCAGTCAGAAATACTCCATATTCTAAGAACACAGGCAGAGCCTGTGGCGTTCCAGTTATCTCCACCCTGCAAGACTTTCCTGTCCTGCAAGCTCCCGTCTGCGAAGACCCTCCCGAGTCTTGTGAGCAGAGCTTGTGTTCCTTCCCAGAGTTCTCGCACAAGCCTTCTTTACGAGACCCTCATGCAAACCCTGTGTTGAGAAGAGATCGTGGGACCAAAGCCGTCTCCGCTGCCTCGCAACCACACCACAGCATCCCACAGTTATGAGGTGCTATCAGATGGTCTTCACTAGAGGCCTCCTGTTACTGCTTGATCTCTGCTTTTATTTTGCTGCACCATAGTTTGGAGTTTTCTTAATTCAACATTTGATCCGTGGCACAAATCTCAGTGTATAAAAAGCAAGAAAGCTTGCAATCATTTAACTGTAAGTAACACAGGTCTGGCCCTGGCCATCTTTTCCTACAGAACAGTGCCGCAATAAACATATGTGCACATGTGTCTTTATAACAGAATACTTCATTTTATTTATTATTCAATATTTTTTATTTTTTATTATTTATAATCCTTTGGGTATATACCCAGTAATGGGCTTGCTGGGTCAAATGGCATTTCTAGTTCTAGATCCTTGAGGAATCACCACACTGCCTTCCACAATGGTTGAACTAATTTACACTCCCACCAACAGTGTAAAAGTGTTCCTATTTCTCCACTCTCCAGCATCTGTTGTTTCCTGGCCTTTTAATGATCATCATTCTAACTGGCATGAGATGGTAGGTATCTCAATGTGGTTTTGATTTGCATTTCTCTAATGACCAGTGATGATGAGCTTTTTTTTCATGTTTGTTGCCTATATAAATGTCTTCTTTTGAGAAATGTTTGTTCCTATCTTTGGCCCACTTTTGGATGGGGTTTTTTTTTTCTTGTAAATTTGTTTAAGTTCTTTGTAGATTCTGGATATTAGCCCTTTGTCAGATGGGTAGGCTGCACAAACTTTTTCCCATTCTGTTGGATGCCAGTTCACTCTAATGATAGTGCGGAAGCTCTTTAGTTTAATTAGATCCCATTTGTCTATTTTGGCTTTTGGTGTTTCGGTCATGAAGTCCTTGCCCATGCCTGTGTCCTGAACAGTACTGCCTAGGTTTCCTTCTAGGGTTTTATGGTGTTATGTCTTATGTTTAAATCTTTAATCCATCCAGAGTTAATTTTTGTATAAGGTACAAGATCCACTTTCAGCTTTCTGCATATGGCTAGCCAGTTTTCCTAACACCATCTACTAAATAGAGAATCCTTTCCCCATTGCTTGTTTCTGCATCACACTACCTGACTTCAAACTATACTACAAGGCTACAGTAATCAAAACAGGATGGCACTGGTACCAAAACAGAGAATACAGACCAATGTAACAGAACAGAGGCCTCAAAAATAATGCCACACATCTACAACCATCTGATCTTTGATAAATCTTTCTCTTTGTTTCTAAAGTCAAAAGGGAAGACTCTCTCTTGTCCTAGGAGGGGAACAAGGAGTGGTCTGCCCACAACCCAGGTCTGAGGGCCCCTCCTTCCAGAGCTGAGAGCAGCCAGGGCTGACCCCTCTTCTCCCCACTCCATCCGGTGACCATCAGCGAAGGTGCGGGCAAGGGGGCTGGGCTCAGGAGGGACCCCAGCAGACCAGGCAGTCTGCGTCCCACATGCCTGCTCCCACTGCTATTGGAGACAAAAGAGCCAGGGTGGACAGAACTCACTCCAAAAGCATTTGTGACAGTTCATCAGGCCCAATTTTTCCAGACCAAGGACAGACTGTCACCTAAAAAACACAAGCAGTACCCAAACCTGCAAAGGCTTTTCCAAGACATTCTGGTATACAAACACGCTTCTGCACAGAAAATCCAAGATAACTTCTGCTGTCAGAGGTGACAGGAGGTCTAGAGACAACCACCCTGGCCCTGGTGTTTTACAGCTTGCAAGCTGGGGCATTGCTGGGTTGGGGCCAGAGAGGAAACCTCAGCGCATGCTGCACGCAAGGCAGGCTGAGCTTCAGGCACCTGCACGATGCGGACGTCCCTCCCAAGGGCCACAGGCAAACAGGACAGAGAGCCTCTGCCTAACAGATGGGCAACCCCCTAGACGCCCTGCCAGGACACCTGGAAAAACCCACACACCAAAAAGCAACAGACAAGAACAGCAGGAAGTGTGAACAGGCTCTCAGTGACCAGAACGCAAGGATGTGTGCCACAGGCAGGCTGAGGGGACAGTGAGGCTGGGGGCGCCTTCCCAGGGGCCAAGGTGGGTAAGATGACCAAGGCTTCCTGCCACCTCCAGAAATGAGCCCATGTCCCCGCTGATGTCCTCTGAACGGGGGAAGGGTTCTATGGGTTTCCCTATGCTCATCTCCTAACTCAGTTTACTTTAAATGAGGACTATTTTATGACCTACCAGAATTAACATTAATTAACATCTCAGGCCAATAGCACCTTTCTCACTGTTCAAGTTAAAACAACAGCTAGAGGCTCTGTGGGGGCCTTGGCTGCAGAGGAAAGGGGTCCCTAAAGGTCCAGTTCAGCTCAAAAAAGCAGGTAAAGACATAACTATGTTACTTATGGCCACAGAGCCCTCCCCAGCAGCATCAGACATGCCCTACCTACCCCTTCCCTGCCCCACCTCCTCCCTGCCCCCACAGGGCTCCAACCCTGCCTGGCCCCACGCTGCCCCCCCATCAGGCTTCCGACTCCACACCTCCTGGAAGTGGTCCTGGACGAGGAGCTCCAGCAGCTCTTCCTCAAACTTCTCGAGGGTGGGGTACAATGTGAAGAATAAGTCATCCAAGTGACCCGTGATGGGCTTCTGGAGGCGAGGCTTTCGGAGAGCATCGCCTGAAACAGCAAGGGTGCAAAAAGGATCATCCTTGGGAATAAAACACCCACCAGCAGCCAGCAAGGGCCCCCCACCCACCTCAGCCTCAGCCTGGGCCTGCAGCAAAGAAGGGTGCCTGGGATCCCCAGACAGAACACAAGGCCCAAGCTAAGCCTCCACCTCAATTAAGCAAATGCAGATTTCACTGGCAGTCCAAATTCTACCGCAAACCTTCTCCAGGAGCAGTTTTCATATTCGACAACTCAAAGAACACAGATTGCAGAAGGCAAAGTCACACGTGCGCCCCTGCAGCCTGCTCCCCTGCATGGCGTCCCTCCTCTCCAGCAGGAACACAGCCAGCCCCGCTGCTCCTTACTTTACTGCATCACCTTGAACCATCTGCAAACACACTGAATACGCACGAGCCTGTCAAGGCAACCAGCAAAATACAGCCCGAACAGCACCACGAGAAAACAGTCCCATCCAGAGGACAGTGTCCTAGCTCAGGGTCTGGTGCAGAGCAGGCCTGTAAAAAACCTTGGCCGAGAAAGGGAAGGCCCAGGGCTGCCTGGGGAGCCTTCTCCACTGGCTCTGGAGCAAAGGCTCATCCAGGAGGAGGAAGGATGAGCCAGCCGCTTCCCAGCCTACACACACCATGGACTCTGACCCGTATTTCCCCACCACTGTCATCTTCCAGTCCTAGCTCCATCTATTCCTACATTTTAATGACCATTTACACATGTAGATTTTTAAAAGCTAACTCCAAAGTTGAAAAAAAAAGAAAACACTGGGGTAACACTGAATACTGATGAATTTGCCATCAAAAGAGCACTCTACTATCCTGCAGGTTATGAGTCAGTATCACCTTTGCCTCTGTGTATATCAAAAGCTTTCAAATCTCACTTTCTGACCCAGTAATTCCACTTTTTGAACCTATTCAGAGAAAATAATCAAAGACAGAAGCAAAGATTGATGAGCAAGAATATTCAGTAAAACTTTATTATAAAGAGAAAAATCCAAACAACCAATATAAAAATGTTCATTAAACTGTTAGTCATTCATACCAAATCAGAACAAAAAATCATATTGTCAAAGGTTATTTAAGAAACTGAGAAACAATCATAATATTGCAAGTGAAAAGAATAGTAACATATAAAACTGTATTATTCCATTTGATAGCAATGTGATTTAAATATTTATGCACTTAGATGTATGTGTGGATATCTGCAGGCAGTAACTGTAGATTATTTCCTTCTTTATAGATTTCCATAGTGTCCCCATCACAAACTCACATTAGATTTGTCCAGTAGAACAGAATAGACATTCCAGAAATAAATTCATGTACCTACAGCCAACTGATTTTTAACAGAGGTGCCAAGAACATACACTGGGGAAAAGACAGTCTCTTCAATAAATGGTGCTGGACAAAAACTGGACACCCACAAGCAGAAGGAGATGAGACACCCTACCTCTCACCATATAGAAACGTCAACTCAAAATATCTTAAAGACTTAAATGTAAAACCTGAAACTATGAAAAAAAACACTAGAAGAACACAGAAGAAATGCTTTGTAACACTGGGCTGAGTAAGGATTTTTTTTAATAAAACTGTAAAGCACAGGCAGCAACAGCAGAAAGAAATAAAGTATATCCAAATAAAAGGTCTTGCACAACAAAGGAAACAAGCAAGTGAAGAGATAAGCTGCAGAGTGGGAGAAAATATTTGTAAACTAGCTATCTGGCACGGGGTTAATACCCAGAATACATAAGGAATGTAAGCAACTCAACAGCAAAAACACGAGTAACTTAATTTTAAAATGGGCAAGAGACCTTAAGAGACATTTCTCAAAAGAAGACATTCAAACAGCCTACAGGCACATGAAACTACACTCATGGTCACTAGTCATCAGGGAAATGAAAATCAAAACTGCAATGAGATGCCCCCTCACTTCAGTGAGAATGGCCATGATCAAAAAGACAAAAGAGAGTGAGTGCTGTGAGGACGTGGAGAAAAGGGAACAGCTACACACTGCTAGCAGGACTGCAAATTAGGACAGCCACTGCGGAAACCTGTACAGGCGTTCCTCAAAAAATTGAAGCAGAACTACCATATAATCCAGCAGTCCCACTAGTGAGTACAGAATACCCAAAGGAAATGAAATCAGCCTGTCAAAGAGGTATCGCCATTCCATGTTTACTGCAGCACTATTCACGATCGTGGTGACACAGAGTCAACCTAAGTGTTCATCAGCAGAGGACTGGATCAAGCAAAGCAGTAATATATGCACAGTGGGGTGCTTAGCAGCCATGAAAAAGAATGAGGCCCTGCCGCTTGCAACACCACCACACAGACGGGCCCAGCAGAGAGCAAGGTAAAGTGAAATAAGCCAAGCACAGAAAGTCAAAATACCACATGATCTCACTCATATGTGGGAGCTAAAAAAATAAAGAGTTGGTACCACAGAAGCAGAGCATGTAACAGTGGTTCCCGAGACTGAGGAGGGGAGGAAGGTAGAGGCTGTCAAGGGGTCATGGTACAAGTTACCACCTGATAGGAGGAATAAATTCTGCTGTTCTTGCACAGCAGGATAATGATGGTTACCAGTAAATTACCGTAAAATACAAAATAGCTAGAAGAGCGGCCTCTGAATGTCCTCACCACAGAGAAACGACGAGTGTGGGAGATCCGGTCACCCTAATACTCTCATTTGATCATTGTACAACACGTACATGTATTGAAACATCAAATTGTTCCACATTTGATAATCGTCAAATGTGTCAAAATTGTCTCACAATTACAATGTGTCAACAAAATTTAACAGAATGTTTCAAAAAGTTGAGGGAGAAATTATATAAACTAAAATAACAGAGGACAAAGGCCATTTACGAGACCGACTTCCTTTAGGAAGGATCACCTGTGTGCCATGGGTGCCCCATCATAAGGGGCGGCAACTCAATGGAGGAATCAGGGTCACTAGGCATCTGGGAGGGGGCAGAACTCAGCAGCGATCCTGGAAGTGGGTTCTGTGTGGCCACCCCATGACCAAGGTGCACATGTATCCCAGGCCCAGCAGCCATTCCGATAGCTGTGACCTTGGTCTACACAGAGAACTGAGGACGCAAGTCCCATGCACAGGAAGTCATTAAGGAAGGAAAGACGGGTTCCCACCAAGACAGCCAAACTGAGGAGCTACATCTGCAGTGGGTAGAACCTTCCAGATCCCAGAGGGCCCAGGAAAGCCAGACAAGGCTGGGTATCCTCATTCAGCCGCTTTTTCCAGGCACGGGCTCTGGAGTAAAGTGCCTGAGCCCAAGCCTGGTTCTGCCACCGAGTTACTCTGGAACCTTCGAGATACCAGGCCTGGACAAAAAAACAACTAAGCCTGGTGCTATCTTGCCTTCGCACATCCAAAGGGCTCGAAAAGGGAAAACAGATCAGACCTCCCGGAATGCTCTGAGGTGGAAGGCTTGGATCTGGGCTGAATTTAAGACAGAACTTTGATGATGAGACGCTAGTGCTTTCCCAATCCATCTCATTTTCTCCCCAAATACATCTTTACGAGCAGGCCCTATTATTGTCCCCATTTTATAAAGGAAAAGCAAAAGCAAAGACTTGGAGAGGCTAGGACCTGACCTGAGCTCACACCGATGCTAGACATGGAACAGACACCCGCCACAGGTCTGTCAGCCTCCAGTATAACCCAACAAGCATCTTCTCACTATCTGAAATCATTCATTCATTCACTCATTCAACTAACCAAGCAACAGTGGCAACCAAGACAAACATGAACTCCACCTTGGCAGAAGTGAGCCCACAGCAGCAGAGGTGTTCTGGCCCTCATGCTCTGCAGCTGAGACAACCTTTAATTTATCCGCATCCAAGTCTCTAGCTAGGAATGTAATTCCCAAATAACAGTGTTGCTCCTGTGGAAAAAACACGCTCTACCCTAAAACAATCCATTTTATTCTGGGATTCCCACAAACACACTACAGAGAAAATGGGGGTTGCCAGCAAACCCTTCACAAGCAAGAACCCCCTTCCCACTGATATCCATTAGAGAGCCCTGAGATTCCCCTGGGCCCTAAAAGGCTCCCACGGTTCACAGCCTCCTGGGGACCTATCTCTTCTACCAAGGATATTTCATTCACCAGAAGGTACCTCAAAAAATAAGAACACTATGATAGTGGCAGTGGAATGAGCACTAAACTTGGGAATGATTTAAGCAGGAATGAAAATGACTTTGAGCTAGTCCAGGTTTCTTCTAAAACACCTTGTGTTGCCTTTGGTGACTGTGGTTAGATTTGAGGTCTGCGCCTACCAAAATCCATTCAAGACAGAGCTGACATATCTCCTAAGAGTGCAAAGCGACATCCTTAGCACCCAAGCCAGGGCCTGCTTCACAGTGTCTACACAATAAATACTTGTTGAATAAATCAACGAATAATGAATGAATTAGTGAATATAGAAAAGATATACACCAAACTATGAGCAGTGGTTTTCTCTACGGAGTGAGACTAGAAGGGAAGACTTTCAGTTTTTACTAAATATACTGAATAAAGATGAACTCTGTGGTTTTAAAATGGTCTTTAGCATTGTATAAAAGGGGCACGCAATAGACAAGCTGCATCGGCCCTGGTCAGAAAGCAGCCTCAAGGCCAGGCACAGTGGCACAAGTCTGTAATACCAGCCAGGAACAGCTGTCAGAAAGCAGCCTCAAGGCCAGGCACAGTGGCGCAAGTCTGGGATCCCAGCACTTTGGAAGGCCAAAGCAGGTGGATTCCTTGATGCTTGAGCTCAGGAGTCCGAGACCAGCCTCAGCAACATGGAGAAACCTGTCTCTACAAAAAAGACAAAAATGAGCCGGAGGCCGGGCCCTGTGACTCACACCTATAATCCCAGCAATTTGGGAGGCCAAGGTAGGTGGATCACCTGATGTCAAAAGTTCAAAACCAGCCTAGCCAACATGGTTGAAACCCCGTATCTGCTAAAAATACAAAAATTAGCCAGGCATGGAGACACGGGCCTGTAATTCCAACTACTTGGGAGGCTGAGGCAGGAGGATTGCCTGAACCCAGGAGACGGAGGTTGTAGTGAGCAGAGATTGTGCCACTGCACTCCAACCTGGGTGACAGAGCAAGACTTTCTTAAAAAAAAAAAGAAAAGAAAAATGAGCCAGGCATGGTGGCACATGCCTGTAGTCCCCACTACTCAAGAGGCTGAAGAGGGAGAATCACTTGAGCGTGGGAGGTGGAGTTTGCAGCAAAACCAGATCGTGCCACTGCACTCTAGCCTGAGCAAGAGTCAGACCCTGTCTTAAAAAAAAAAAAAAAAACAGAATTAGAGAAAAATCTGGCTCTCATTTTACATATATATATACATACACACACACGCATAATTTGTAAAGTAAGTTTAAGAAGTAAAATAAAAAGGAAGTAGAAAGTACCCTCAGGGCTCACACAACAAAAAAACTGGGCAAATTGTGTTTCTCTCCTAAAACGGCCCCGGGGCAGGGGTATGGGTGTCCTTTCTCTCCAAAGGAGCACATATGGCCCTCACCTGGTGGAGTCAGTCACTCAGCCTCCCTCCCTCCAGACACCAGGGCATGTGCTGGCCCTGCCTTCAGATCCCCTGCTCATCTGATTTTCAACACCAGCAGCATAAAATGTCCTTCATTTTGCAATGTTACCGGCACTGCCTGCATTCGTTCAGCACCTTGGACTGACTGGCTGCTCCACACCTGGAGGACAACTTGAGGCCAACGGGCCAGGCCTCTTCCAAAACGTGGCCTTTAAGGATGAGGAGCAGGAGTCATGTACCCAGCCTCATGCTTCTTAAATCCAAAACTCCATCTCCACCTCATGCCCCGCTTGGTCCCAGCTGGACACAAGACACCAGGGACAAAACCAGGCCTGTCTTCTTGGGCATGTCAGCTTCTCAACTGCTGTCCTAGTCATGAGACTGAGCCAGTCCACAGTGACCTGCAGATATTTCTGTTGGTGTGCAGTTCTACTGACACCCACTAGCAAGTCCCAGTGATGACTACACCTCCAGCTCCAAGACTCCCAGGTAGTAAGACTCACACAGCTGACTTGAAAGAACACACAGCTAGTCCTCAAAAGCACTATCAAACAGGTGGCACCTCACAGCTAGTCCCCAAGATCACTATCAACCAAGCGGCACCTCACAGCTAGTCCCCAAGATCACTATCAACCAGGCGGCATCTCACAGCTAGTCCCCAAGATCACTATCAACCAGGTGGCACCTCACAGCTAGTCCTCAAGATCACTATCAACCAGGCGGCATCTCACAGCAGGGCCTACAGGGCTCTCCCTGGCCAGCAGAGCAGGGGCCAGAGGGACAGGCCATGGCCCAGGTCTCAGAGCTAGACATAGGTTTTCATGTTCTCTTCGCTAACTCGACAACAGCAACAATGAGGCCTTCCCTCCGTCTCTTTCTTTCTTTCAGAGGATCGCTAGCAGATTAGAAGGGTAATAATACACTCTGAAGGGGGTGTGGAGAGTGCCTATAGCTCAGTGAGCCAGGATAGACCCAGACCGGGACCCCAGGTTGCTCATCTTCAGAGTTCATTCCTCCCTTCTCATTTCACCCTCTCCTCCTTGGAATGGTGGAAAAACAGTGACTTCACAATGATGATATCAACCACAGACCCATCCAAGAAATTAATTAATTCAGATAACATCTACACCCTAGCACCAACCAGAACGCCTGTGCAACGCACAGGGATGCCATCGCTGACAACCAGGCACCCGTGCCAGAGCCAGCTGCGTCCCTTCCTTCAGGGTCCAGAATGAGCCATACCCTCAGCACAGCACTGTTCTCAATCCCCGCCCCTCATACACAAGGTCAAATCCTACTCTTCCCGGAACCCAGCAGGGAATCAGTCACCCAAGAGAGCAGGTTCTGGCGCTGCTAGGACATCTCCAGCATATGACAGGTAGAAAGAGGCTGGTGTGGTCCCTTCTCCAGGACTCCTCAAGAAAGCCACACAAAAGTGTGAAAGAAGTGCCTGGAAGAAGCATGGGGCCCAGGCCACGAGGACTGCCCAGCAGATTCCTACAGCAGAGCACACCCTCAACCTCCCAAGGCTGTTGGGCTCGACGCAATTCCACCACTGGAGACTCAACCGCTGCAAACCACAAGAAGACAGAGCCCTTGCCCCTTAACATGAATTTCAGTTTCCAGAAATACTCAAGTCCCTGCACCCTGTTCACAGCAGCATTCTTCAGAGCCAGGAGGTGGAAGCGACCCAAGAAACAGACAAAACAATCAGCAAACAGGGTCCATCCATAAACTGGAAAATCATTCAGCCTCAAAAGAAAAGGAAGGCAATTCGGACACATGCTATCACGTGGATGAAGCCCGAAGACATTCCGATAAGAAACTTGAAGACACTTCACTCTTAGGATGAACTAACAGAGCAATTCCCCTGTCACCCTAGAAGAACGCCTGCCACTGAAGGGCAAGGACTGCATGACTCCACTCACAGGAGGTCCCTAGAGTCATCAAAATCATGAAGACAGAAAGCAGAAGGGTGGCTGCCAGGGGCTTGGGGAGTAGGGAACGGGGAGTCAGTGCTGAATGGGACAAAGCCTCGGCCAGGGAAGATGAAAGAGTTCTGGGGCAGATGGCACTGGTGGCTGCACGGCACTGTGAATGGACTTACTCACACTGAACTGTACATTTTCAAAGGGCTAAAATGGCCAATTTTATGTTATCCATATTTTATCTTAATTTTAAAATCATCACCACCATCAAGTCACTGATATGATGCCGTGTGGGTGAGATCCAGCCACAGTCCTCCTGGCTGCGGTCAGAGACATAAACTCTGTGTCTCACAAAAGCATTTACCCAACGAAAGAAGACAGAATGACTTGAAGGACGTGAGACACTACTTAGGAGGGAAATAGAAACGGGAATGCCATTGCCACTCTCTTCCTCGTCCACCAGGACCCCTGCCAACCCCGGCCAGGCTGAGCTGCTGAACTGCAGAGGGTGCTGGGCCCACGTTCCCCCAGAAGAGCCCAGTGCCTTCGAGGTTTCACGGTGAATAGCACAGACTCAACTCACCAAGTGGAGAGAAGCGAAGACGTCCTTACCGGATTCTCCATGAGCTGGAAGCAAGCCAGGGATCTGCTGCAGACCAGACACTAGAAGGTTCTCGGGAAGAAGGTGGAACACAGGCTCCAGGGCCGGGTGTGGCTTCAGCGTGTAGTGCAGGCTGCAGTTCTCAATGAGGGTCATGTGTTTGTTTTCTGGGGAAGAAAACACCCACATGATCAATGTGACCACTGCTGAAAGCAAAGGCAGTCAAACCAGCCAATGAACGGAGAATGTTAGAAATACAGAAAAGGTACTTTTCTAAGACAGGAAGTGCTCTGTTCAGCCTAAAAGTGAAAAGCATTGAACTTTCATAACCTTCTCTGGTAAAGTTACAATTTTTTTTAAATGACATGGAGTCTTGCTGTGTCACCCAAGCTGCAGTGCAGTGACGTGATCTCCACTGACTGCAACCTCTGCCTCCTGGATTCAAGCAATTCTCCTGCCTCCGCCTCCTGAGTAGCTGGGACTACAGGTGCCCACCACCATGCCAAGCTAATTTTTGAATTTTTAATAGAGATGGGATTTCACCACATTGGCCAAGATGATCCTGATCTCTTGACCTTGTGATCCACCCAACTCGGACTCCCAAAGTGCTGGGATTACAGGTGTGAGCCACTGTGCCAAGCCTTGAAGTTAAAATGAAATTTTTTTTTATTTTTCTTCTTTGGTTTTAGAGATAGGATCTCACTCTGTTTGCCGAGTTGGAGAGCAGTGGTGTAATCATAGCTCCCTAGAGCATCAAATTCCTGAGCTCAAGTGATCCTCCCACCTTGGCCTCCCAAAGTGCTGGGATTACAGGCATGAGACACCACGCCTGGCCTGGAGGTACAGGTTTTTAATCCAACATAAAATCTCTCCTGCCCACCACTTCCCTCAGTCTCCTGAAAGCACAGGCCGGCACGGGCTGTGTGGTTTCCCCAGGCCTCGATGGTCCCTGCCATCAGAGGGGCCTGGAGGACACCCTGGCCCGAGGCCTGCCTGCCTGCCTTTGCCTGTCGGCACCTGTATCCACCAAGCCCCAAAAGGAGCAGCAGCACTGGAGGGAGGCCAGCAGCGTCAGAGATGGAGCCACTCATGTCCTCAAGGACATGCCACTCTCCTAGGGTGACAGCTAAGACCAAATAGCCGATACCCATAACACACGGGAGAATTGCATCTGAACCACGAGAACTGCATCTGAAGCACGAGGGGAAACTCGAGGAGGCAAAGGAGCATGAGAGAACATCCCTAGAGAAATGACACCCAGGAGGAGCATGGCCGCACCGCACTGGGGACAGGCCCTGAACATGGAAGGAACAGCATCCCCAGAAACAGGGGTGTAGGGAGAGGCACACCCCCGAAACACCGACCCCAGGGCTGCCCTCTTCCCATTCCCACCAAATGGCCAATCTTGCTGGGGCCTGATTTTCTCCACAGATAGAAAGCCCATCACTCCCCAAAGCACAGCAGGTGCGCGTGCTCTCAGGCAGCTCAAGTCCTGGCTGTGGCCAAGTCCCTGGCTTGGCCTGCTGAGAGCTGCTGAGAGTCGCAAGTTCAGCTCATTCCTGAACAAAGAGCTAAATATGAACTAGTGTATCATTAGAAAAAGAAATTAGTGAAAAACTAGGCCCGGCACGGTGGCTCATGCCCGTAGTAGCTGGGATTACAGGTGTGCACGACCACGCCCAGCTAAATTTTTGTACTTTTAATAAAGATGGGGTTTCATCATGTTGGTCAGGCTGGTCTGGAATCCTGGCCTCGTGATCTGCCTGCCTTGGCCTCCTGAAGTGCTGGGATTACAGGTGTGAGCCACTGTGCCTAATACAAATAAAAAAAATTTTTTAAGTTGGGCAGTGTCTCACGCCTGAAATCCCAGCACTTAGGGAGGTTAAGACAGGCAGATCACGAGGTCAGGAGATAGAGACCATTCTGGCTAACATAGTGAAACCCCATCTCTACTAAAAATACAAAAATTTAGCCAGGCACGTTAGCACACGCCTGTAATCCTAGCTACTCAGGAAGCTGAGGCAGGAGAATTGCTTTAACCCAGGAGGCAGAGGTTGCAGTGAGCCGAGATTAGGCCACTGCAATCCAACCTGGGTGATAGAGAGAAACCATCTCAAAAAATAAAAATAAAAAACAAAGAAAAAGAAATTAGTGAAATATAGTATTTTTTTAGTACCTAACCACTCCAAACGTGGAATCTACTTACTTTAAAATGTAAAATACCACTAAAGGCATTTGACCTGTGTGGCTCGTCAGGAGGAACAACCTCCCCAGGGGGCAGCAGGGAGGGGGACACAAGAGAAATAGGGCAAGACTCCAAATGCTCATACCTCCAGCCCAGCCATCCCCCTGACTCGAGTTTACACCATGAATTCTGCACACGCTCAGAAGAAGGGCAGACACCCACTGCAATGGGGTTTCTAACCTTTTCTTTTTTTTTTTTTTTGAGACGGAAACTCACTCTGTTACCCAGGCTGGAGTGCAGTGGTGCGATCTCAGCTCACCGCAACCTCCACCTCCTGAGTTCAAGCAATTCTGCTTCAGCCTCCAGAGTAGCTGGGATTATAGGCACCCACCACCACACCCGGCTAATTTTTGTATTTACAGAAGAGACAGGGTTTCACCATGTTGGCCAGGCTGGTCTCAAATTCCTGACCTCAGGTGATCCACCCACCTTGGCCTCCCAAATTGCTGGGATTACAGGCGTGAGCCACCCCACCTGCCCCAACTTTTTCTTATAAAACAGCGTAAAGGTTGGTGTGCAGGAGGCCGATTCAATCAATCATGAAACATCAACTCCACAAAATATCACAGAGCTGTAAAAAGAATGAGTGCTTTCCATGTACTCATATGAAACATTCTTCTAGACAAATTGTTATGGGAAAAATGCAAGGTGTGGAACAGTGAGTAAAAAGAGGCCAAAAATCAGATGCAATAGTGGACATTCACTTTGCGTCTGTGTCCACAACAAGCCCCCGGAAGGGTGTGTTACCAGGGCAGCCTGGGTGAAACAACAGTGAAAGTTCCTTTTTCTCACGGTTTTCTTTCAGCCCCTTTTTCCATGGGCACAGCTCTGTAAAGGAACCAGATGGCAGGAATGCCACCAGAGCTTCTTGACCCCTGATCAAATACTAGAGATAGATAGAGCCCCATGAAACTGGTGAAAACTAGACCAGGCGACCCCCAGCTGCCCTTAGACCACTGGAACATTACAACGCTGAAGTTCACGCTCCGAGAAGACCACCACCGTGTTTTGTACCAGCCATGCCTGGAGGAGCACGTTAACGACATGCGTCTGTGCGCCTGGAATCCCGCCCTCCTGGCCTGAACCCGGTCCTTCAAACCTCCACGCCTCCCACTGTCCACGGAGAAGGTGCCTTCAGAGCGAGGGCTCCCTTCTTCACTCCCTGGCCAGTCAATAAAACCTGACTACCTTTTCCAATTGGCTATTCTTCCTTTGCCGCTGATACCAAGGGGGAAAAGAACTTAGTTTACCAGCGACAGAGCCACAAGAACCCGAACAGAGAGGTTACCTGGTAGCAGGTGAAAGGATTGGGGAAATAACATCTCACTCTGAACTTTTTATACTTTTTATTTATTTATTTATTTTTTTGAGACAGGATCTTGTCTCCCAGGCTGCAGTACAATGGTGCAACCACAGCTCACTGCAGCCTCACATTCCTGGCCTCAAGCAGTCCTCCCACCTCAGCCTCCCAAGTAGCTATGACCACAGGAGGGCATCGCCACACCCGCTAATTTTTGTGTTTTCTGTAGAGATGGGGGTCTCAGTATGTTGTCCAGGATGGTCTCAAACTCCTGGCCTCAAGCAGCCTGCCCACCTCAGCCTCTCAAAGTGTGGGGATCACAGGCATGAGCCACCGCCCCCGGCACTTTTTTTAATACCTTTGGATTCCAAATCGTGTGAGTGTGTCGCCATTACCAGCAAATTTTTGGAAACGTCCGCTGCAAAGATGAGTGACGGGCCCACCGCGGGTTCCGCCTAAAGCCTCCACTCAGGGCTCACAGCTTCCACACGGACGTGCGGACTGTGGACATGGAGTGAACACAGTAGCTGTGTACTTTTTTCTAAGGATGCTTCTGGAGAGAAAATCCTGGCACATGAATAATTAGACTAATTGAAAAACAACCTAAAAGCCAATCTTCAGCAATGAAATGAAGTGCCTGACTGGCTGTTCTCTGTAAACCGAAAAGAAAATCGTGAGCCCCCAGTAGACTGAAGGGACCGCCTCTTGGCCTAGAGGACTCCAGAGGAGCCTTGAAAACTGACTTCGGGGCTGTGACCAGAGGAGAACCAGACAGGCCTCGATGCGCCCCGGCCCACGCTAACTGCCATTAGCCTTTCTTCACTCAGGACTGGACAGAAACTGCTCTTTCTAGACTCCACTGCTGCTGCTGCTGCCCACCAATCGCCCGCTGCTGCCCTCTTCCGGACAGTCTACAGAGGGCGCGCAGGGAGGGCTTTCGTGTCGTCTGCTTTACCTTCTGACGTCAGGGAGTAGAGAACTCCTTCCAAGGGTCCTGCTAGTGCCATTTTTGAACGCACATCCCATGAAGCGGCATGGGCTCAGCTGCCCAAGTGCATGCTTCTCCTCTCATCAACGCAAGGGACCCCTCCTGGGCTTATTAAAAAGCAGACTCAGCCCCCGCTCAGCAGAAATTTTTCTTCCCTCTCGTCCTCCCTCAAAGGGTCTGTTTCTGGCTTCTGGCCAGAAGCTATACTTCCCAGCCTGTCCGAAAGGCCACCTGCAGCCTGCAGCCCTTTCTGAGAAATGAAGCTCTTCTTTCCAGACTTAGGAACCTCAGTGCTCTTCAGCTGACATCTGTCATGAGACTGTCACCAAGACCAGTGAGGGGCAAAGGGAGTGGGTTGGATGTTTTGATTTGTTTTTTTGAGATAGGGTCTCATTCTATCACCCAGGCTGGAGTGCAGTGGTGCAACCTCTGCCTCCTGGGCTCAAGTGATCCTCCCACCTCAGCCTCCTGAGTAGCTGGAACTACAGCCGCACACTGCCACACCTGGCTAAGTTTTTGTAAAGACAGGGTCTAACTATGTTGCCCAGGCTGGTTTCAAACTCCTGAGAGCTCAAGCAATCCACCTGCCTCAGCCTCCCAAAGTGCTGGGATTACAAGCATGAGCCACTGTGCCCGGCCAGGTTTCACTTTTAACCCAAGCCACAAGGCACACACAACATCCCCTTCAAGGAATCTAGGCAGCACCTCACCTCAAAGAGACAGAAAGTCACCCTCCCCAACAGATCCACCTCTAGCCACTCTTCCCCCCACCGGAACACTCCCCCATCTGCTGGGCAAGCACAGCCTCTGTGCTCTGAGCCTCCCTGATGTCCTTCTAGCCCACTCCCACCCCTCCCACCACACCCCCCACCCCCCACCACATACCCCTCCTGTCATCCTCCAGGCAGGCAGCAGCAGCAGAGCAAACCGTCATCCCCTTCCCTCCCACTGGCTCCCTCTGCTGCCTGGGAACGGCTGGTCACAGAGGAACAGCAGGAAGCTCCCCCGACCCCTGCTCTGCTCTAAGGCGGCCTCTCAGCCATGGGGCCTTGCCATGCTGGAGATAACCAATCGCTGTGCAGTCAGAGGTTTAGCAGCTGGTGGCTGGTGACGGAGAGCTACTCCATCTGGTGAGCAGAGCTGCTCCCCTCCCTCCAGGCGGCTCTCACAGGCCCTCCCATGCCATCCCCACAAAGCAATGCCCTCCCTCAGGGCTGCTGTGTTTCAGTTCTTTACCTTCTGCCAAAAGTCCAAGGCCACAAAACATTTGCCGAAACCTCTTAGATAAATTAGCTAAGTGGACAGCAGTTTACACCGAGGTACATCCCATTCAGAGCTAAGGGTAGGGAACACTCAGGGAAGGTGGGAGAGCAGCAAGTGCTGCCAAGGACAGGCCTGGCTCTTACGCTCTGCGGGGTCCTGGAGAAGCGGGTGCAGGAGGGCTCTGGGGGTGCCATGGTACAGCCGCAACCTGGAAGACAGGACCCAAAGAACACTCATCAGCCACGTGTGCACTTCTCAGAAGGAAAGCACATGGAAGCCCTGGCCACCACCAAGCCCACCAGAACTTTCTAAATGCCGCCAGTCCCGTCCTCTGCGGAAGGCAGCGGCAGCTGAGGCCAGCAGCAGCTCCCCAAGCCCTCGGTGCTCAGAGCCAAGCACATCCAGCACACACACAGCACTGACTCAAGGCAGCCTGAAAACTGAGGAGCTGGAAAACACCGTTCATGGAAATTTATAAAACTCTAAAATGTCTCAAGAAAGACACATCTGAGGAATTTCCATGGCTGTGGATCTGGAGCAGTGGTTCTCAGCCAGGGATGACTCTGCCCGCTAGGGCACGTTTGACAATGGCTGGAGATATTTTTCTCCTTTGTCACAACTGGGGCAGAAAGGGGGTGCCGCTGGCATCTAGTAGATTGCCAGGGACACTGCTAAACATCTTACAGCACAGAGAACAGCGCCACCACAGCAAAGAATTCTCCACTGGAAAGTCAGTGGTGCCAAGCTAGAGAAACACTGATTCAAATTAAATACACAGGCTTTAACCCTGGCTGAAGGGATGACGTGCCAGCCTATTCACCCATATGTCCAGCCCCTACACAGAGCCTGGCACACAGCAGACGCCCAGCCAGTGTCTGCTGAATGAACACCTGCTAACCACTGGCACCTGTGAAAAACATACCGCTCAATATTCAAGCAGAACTTATGACATACAGGTTGTTATTACCCCTCATGTATAGGTGAATGCCTTCAGGCTCCTAGAGTTCAAATCACTTGCCTGAAGCCCCACAGGGAATCAGTGCTGGAGCAGGACTTTGGCGCATATCCATCCTACCTCAAATCCATCACTCACGGCCAAAGCCAGCCCTTTCTTCTGCCTAAAAAACAATTCCTTAACTCGCTTAGAAATGACAAACACAGCCGGACACAGTGGCTCACGTCTGTAATCCCAACACTTTGGGTGGCTGAGGCGAGCAGATCTCTTGAGCCCAGGAGTTCAAGACCAGTCTGGGCAACACAGGAGACCCTGTCTCTGCTAAAAATACAAACATCACCCAGGTGTGATGGTGCACGCCTGTAACCTCTGCTACCCAGGAGGCTGATAGATGAGAATCACTTGAGCCTGGAAGCGGAGGTTGCAGTGACCCAAAATTGCACCACTCACTGTACAGCAGCCTGCATGACAGAGCGAGACCCTGCCTCAAAATAAGAAAAAAAAAGGCAAACCACCAAGCAAGAAACATCCAAAACTACGCTATTATGGACACAAAACTTCAGATGACAAACGTAAGGCTTTCTGCCGCCACCATGAGACACCCAGTTAAACCACCACATACACTGGAATGCAGCCAGGAACAAAACCCCGTCCATACTAAAAATACAGAAGTTAGCCAGAGGTGGTGCCAGGTGCATCACCAAGGTCTGGAGTTCAAGACCAGCCTGGCCAACATGGTGAAACCCTGTCTCTACTAAAAATACAAAATTAGCCAGGCTGTAGTGGTACGCGCCTGTAGTCCCAGCTACTTGGGAAGCTGAGGCAAGAGAATCGCTCAAACCCGGGAGGCGGAGGTTGCAGTGAGCCGAGATCACACCACTGCACACTCTAGCCTGGTTGAAAGTGAGACTCCATCTCAAAAGAAAAAAGAAAGAAAGACGCTGGCAAACCGCACAGTTGCAGAAACAAGGCCGGTACCGTTTGTCCTGGGGAGCAGAAGTAGGAGATTCTGGCTGGCTGCTGAAGATCTGAAGGATTCCAAACCCACAGGACGACGTGTAGAGGGTCCCATCCAGTTTCTTGCCCTCAGCGACCACTTCAACCACAGCCACGACATGAGGGTGGTTTAAGGATGTGTGAAAATACAAAGGCTGCAGAAGAGAAGCCAGAGGACGGTCTGAGTGCTCAGGACACAACACACAAAGAGGACATGGGCGCCATCCCCACCCTCAAGACCACCTTTCTACACACGCCACAGCACCCAGAACCCTCTAACGTGCCCACGTGTGGGGTACCACATCTCTGCAGGATGCCAGGGAAGCAGGCATACTGAGGTAACTCCCTCGGACTCGAAAGCTGGTGTCGGAGCTCTTGACTCCAGAGCGCCCAACATCCAGGACATCTGCTTCCGCTCCAGAACTTTCCATCTCCTGGGAATTCCACCACCAGAAACACCAACAGACCTCAGGCCCACTAGAGCAGAAAGGGGCTAAAGCGGCTATACACCCCACACTGTGGGGGGACACCAGGTAGGACCACGGTTAGACCAGGCCAAGACAACACGTCCACCCCTACACACACACGCACGTGCTGATCAATTCACGCTCCAAGCATCGCCTGACGCTCAACACAGAACAACTTCAATCACACCTGGCTGGGACTGACTGGAACCCTGCTTCACATATAACCATTTTGAGTTCCATCTGAACTAATGGTACTTAAGACTATTAACAAGAAGAATCCTTGGATTTCTTTAGGTGCCAAGTAATTATCCCCAGTTCAGAGCCCAAAAGACTGAAGTATTTTTATGCCGAAAATCACCTTGAGATCATTTTATTAAAAGATTTCTCAAGATCTAAGCCAAGTAGGTGATATTCAAATTGATCATAAAAGGTTTTCCACTCACATCTTCCCATCCGCAACACGCAAATGGCCAGCCTCTGCCTCTGCCTTCCTGCCAGGCCTAGGGAGAGGGGCCTGGGAAGACAGAACGGGAGACTCAACCCCGTTCCGAATCTCATACGGACGCTCCCACTTGGGAATGAATGCACCTTCACTCTGCTTTTCTATTGCATTAAATTCAGTGCAGTTATTTTTATTTAAAATTAAGGGGCGTAGAGTGGTGGCTCGCACCTGTAATCACAGCACTTTTGGGAGGTCGAGGCAGGTGGATCACTTGAGCTCGGGAGTTTGAGACCAGCCTGGGCAACACAGCAAAACCCAATTTCTACCAAAAATACAAAAATTAGCCAGGCATGGTGGCACACACCTGCAGTCCCAACTACTTAGAAGGCTGAGACAGGAGGATCACTTGAGCCCAGGAAGTGGAGGTTGCAGTAAGCTGAGATCACGCCACTGCCCTCCGGCCTGGGCAACAGAATGCAACTTTGTCAAAAAAAAAAAAAAAAATACATGAAGGAATGCCATAAGCACAGAAGACAGAGATGGAGTCACTGGCTGGGTTTGCTAATCAACAGGGAATGCGCATCCCCAGGCATCAGGAGTGGTGCTGCGCCCACACCCCAACACCCTAGCTGGGGGACAAAGCACGGGTCACCAACTGAGCACAGAGACCACCCCCACCAAGGCAGAGAGAGGTAAGGAGGGCTGAGGCTGGTCTTCCACTCTATGACTTAAACTTGGAATAATCCTCCTATTAACGAGTCATTACCATGGTGTCACCGAGAAAACGTTTACTGTAATCACAGACTGTCAGCCCAGGATAACAGAGAGATGCATTAAAACATCAGCCATGAGATATAAATCGTTATTCTATTATCTTTTATTGCAATATGATGAAATAATGACCACTTACAGCTGACAGGTGATTGGACTGAGAGAGAATTATGTTTGTTTCCAAGACTCAAGAACGGTTTTTAAAAAGCCCCACTGCAAAGTCGAGCTGGTCATTATCTCACCTTTTCTATTTATACCTGTGTCTATCAGTCTTAGGAACACTACTCACTTTTTCTATTGGCAATAAAATAACATTTTCAGCTCTGATACAGAGCAACAACAATCCGCCAGCCTAGAGGTCACCCTGAAATTACTCTACCTGAACCTGGTGGAACCCGTGGCTACGGGCATGTCCCAAATACAAGTTTATGGCTATGCCTCTCCCTTCTGTTTACCACTAACAATAATTCGTGAGGCCAAAAACAACAACAGCAACAGAGCCCCAGAGCTGCTTATCTCAGCTGATTCAACCTCAGAGTCTAAAGAATCCACCTTTAATCAGAAGAGTCAGCCACTCTGAGTGCAGCATGTTTTAAAAGTTGAGATGGTCATACCAGTACAATTACTGATTGATAAGGACACAGGCTCTTTTCCAAAAATTGTACTGACCCTCCAGTGTGGGAACAGCCCCAAACTAAAGAATTTACAAGGAACTTGGAAAACACAAGTCAGCTTTCACGAAGCCCAAGCCTCGAAGGCTTCATAAAAGACAGATGAGGCAAGCACAAAACCGCAAGCAACAGAGCCCCATGGTTGCGTTCCTCCGGTCAACCTGGCAAAGTCACGTCTGACCACCCAATGCCCGCCCCACTCAGCCAGGCAGCACGCAGCTGAGGAACACCTGCACGCAAGCCCTTTGGTCTAGGGAAACTTAAGGAACGCCCCTGCCTTACATTTTGAGAGGAACATTCTGGGCATCAACCGAAATTGCACAATTAAAAGGTTAAGTCAAGCCCATCAAATCACCTGCAGGGGAAAGCCACTTGAGACAGAGGAGACTGTCACCCCTGCATCGCAGCTCACTGATCTACACTGGACAAGTTTCCTCCTTGACAGCATAAACAGATTAATAAATCATTTAAATGTACCTATCTTCATGCCTTCATCTTCAAAAACATGGACACCATTTTGTCTCGGGGCCAAGTTTCCATTTTTCACCCGGGGTGACAGAAGTGGAATTGGGCCTATGCTGATGTTGCAGCAGGAGCCCGCAGGAAACGGATCTCTCGAACACCGAATAAAGGAGGGAAGAGTTTATTCGGCGGGGAGACTAGGCAGTAATTTGTCAAAAACCCAGCTCATCTAACAAAGGGCGGTTCTGCCTTTATATAGGCTTATACTTTAGATGTTACACGTGGAAGAATCTTAGGTTTATTGCTTTAGGAATCACATATGAAAGGGTTCCAGTTTACAGTTTTAGGACTCACATGTGAAAAGGTCTCCGTTTACAGTTTCAGGAATCACATATGAAAGGGTTCTGGTTTACAGTTTTAGGACTCATGTGAAAAGATCTCTGGTTTGATCTTGTTTTAAGTAAAAATAGTGCCTTCCAGAGAATTTCCCCAAGACCAAGAGTGTTATTTTCAGGAAGGAGATTCAGGAGGCGCCAGCTGGCCTGCTCTCTCTTCTACTGAGCTGCACCATGGATGACAGAGGGGTAGGGAATCCCAGACGGCTAGGTCTCCTTCCTCAATGTGTCTGGATGAAGGGGCTGCAGCCGGGCACCCCCATGGCATGGCCACGCAACCTGGCACCTGCATGACAGGGGCTCCTCAGACGACACTGGGCAGCAAGGCCAGAGAGGAGCTGAGCGAAACAGTGTGAGTCCCTTCCAAAGACTGTTTCAATAAGTGTTTTGCAGGATAGCTTCAGTCAGGCAAATAATCCAGAGACTTCAGCAGTTCCCACCCCACCGACTCAGACTCACACTGCAGGTTCGGACAGCTTCCCAGCCAGTACGCTTCAAAGATGGTAGGAATTGAGGATGCCCACTATTCTCCATCAGGACGGGGACAGCCCCCTGCCCCACAAATTATCCAGCCCACAATGTCAGCAGTGCCAAGGTCGAGAAACTCTCATTTGGAGTAAAAATGTAAACTTTAATCCTGGCTGAGAGGATAATACACCGTCTTATCTCTGTATGTCAAACTCCTAAACACAGCCTGGCATGCAGAAGGCATTTAACCAATGTTTGCTGAATGAATACTACTGCCCGCCAGCTCCCTGCTTATGGAAAAGCACATGACTTAATACTCCAGCCTCCGGCAGCACTTAGGAGATGCAAACTGTTTTCTCTCATGTGCAGATGAATGTAGTCAGATCAAGGGGTTTATTTTTTTCTTGCAGATTAATTTAATTTCTTTTTTTCTGGCACAGGCTTTTTTGGGGAACAGGTGGTATTTGGTTACATGAGTAAGTTCTTTAGTGGTGATCTGTGAAATTTTGGTGCACACATCACCTGAGCAGGATACACTGAACTAAAAATTTTTTTTTAAGACAGAGTCTTGCTCAATCACCCAGGCTGGTGTCCCATGGCATGAATCTCAGCTCACTGCAACCTCCACTCCCTGAGCTCAAGCGATTCTCTTGCCTCAGCCTTCCAAGTAGCTGGGATTACAGGTGTGTGCCACCATACCCAGCTAATTTTCATATTTTTAGTAGAGACAGAGTTTCACCATGTTGGCCAGAGTGGTCTCAAACTCCTGACCTCAAGTGATCCACCCGCCTTGTCCACCCGAAGTGCCAGCATTACATGCATGAGCCACTGCAGCCGGCCTCAATTCGTAGTCTTTTATCACTCACCCCCTAAAATCAAGGAATTTAAATCACTTGCCTGAAGTCTCACAGGGATCAGTGATGGAGCAGGACGTCAGCCTATGCCCCATCCTTCCTCAAATCCAACGCCCATGGCGAAAGCCAGTTTTCCCTCTGGCCTAAACAGGGACTCCTTGGTTTACTTAGAAAAGTGAGCAAAGACGATTACAACCCAAAGCAAGAAATATCTAGCCCCATCTCTAACAAACTAGAAAAATGTAGCTGGGTATGGCGGTGCATGCCTGTAGTCCCAGCTACTTGGGAGGCTGAGGAGGGAGGATCACTTGAGCCCAGGAGTCCAAGGGTACAATCAGCTATGATCGTACCATGGCACTCCAGCCTGGGCAACATAGAGACACCCATCTCTTAAAAAAAAAATCCCACACTACACTGCTATGAACACACAACAACAAAACTGACAAACAGCTTTCCATTGTCCCCAAATGACCGACAGTTCAATCACTGTACAATTAAACACTGGAAACATCACAGAGACAGCATTTCTCCTTCTAAAACCCACATTCTTTCATCCCCTCATCTCAGGTTCCAAGACCACGGCGGTGCTTTCCATTGTGCCAGAGAGGAAATCAGCCCTCCCCAGCTGCAGAAAGAGGGGCACACGGGGCCAGAGCTGGCCTCCCAGAGCCACAGAGCCTCCCTCTGTGGAAGCAGCTCGCTGGGACACGAAGCTGGCTTCTTGCATTTGTGGTGGTGATGTTCAGGACGTGCCCAGCCTCTGTTGAGCAACAGCAAGCACAAAGGAGCATCAGCCGCGCTCCACAGCCAGGGCTACCAGTAAGCTCCAGACCCAGGCCGAAGAATCCAGGCAGTAGAAGGGCTCAAAAGAGTTGCACGTGGGTTATGCTGATACTCCTTGACAGCATCTGCTTTTTGACAGGAAATTATAGCACGCTCATTGCCCTGATGAGTAAGGACCGCTCAAGAGGGGCTTTCTCATGGCTGTGATGGCAGGAAGGGGCACAACTCGATTACCTGCGTCCCTCTGCCAGGGCAGGTAACTGCCTCACTGCTTTGGAGACACCAGGGCTGGTGCGCTCTGGGAGAAAAGATTCCCCTGCTGGGGGTTTTTTAGGCTGTTGCTGGAGAACCACCAGGATTCCTGCCCAGTAATTCCCCTCAAATAAATAAACGAGGGAAAAGAAGCCCATCACCCAATGCTGGCCAAAATTACTAAGGAAGGAATCCAAATAAAAATATGTCCACCTCAAAAAGAAAATTGAAAAACTGCACAGGATTGTGGCCTCCAGGATTATTTTTTAAAAGACATTTTTTTAGAAGTTGAATGAATTATTAGCTAGCTCAGAGGAAGTGAAAGGCAATTCCTCTCCACCAGGGAAGGTCTCAGAGAACATGGAATTCTGAGCTCAGGGCTGAGGAGTCCGGGGACTGCTCTCCAGCATATAGGCCCAGTTCGAATATTCATCATTTGCAGAAAAAAGCACCCAGCTCTGGATCCAGACAAGACTTCTGTGTTCCAAGCCTTTCTTCAAGACATAGCTGTCTGCGAAGTCCTGACACAGGCACTTCTCTCGGGGTCATGTGTGACACAGGCACTCAGAAAAACCCCGAGCATGCAGGTTCCCTGAGTTACCAGGTGGGACTGGCCAGCCATGGGTACCCCGTCCCCCACTACCAGCAGCTCACCAACCCCAAAGCAGATCCCCAGGAACCACCACCGACAGGCAAAGATCAGAAAAACACAGACACTTAGGAAAACCAGAGAAGCACTTTCTGAAGTCTCAGAATCACCCCTAAAAAGGGCAGAGTGTTTTATGAACCTCTATTTCCACAGAGCGTAAACAAAGCAAATAGCCGGCAGGGTATGAGCATGCTGCCACACCCTCACGCCTAGGAATGCCCACCCCTGGAGCACGCTACACTTCGCCCACACTTGTAGCAGATACACATGTACCTGGGTTTGCACACACACTCAGTGAAGGGGAATTCTCTTTAGTTAACTAAGTTAGCTAGTTAACTAAGCTGGAACAAAACCTTTTCTCTGTATGAGAATGTCAAGGAGATGGAGAAAACTGCCTGGCACAGAACACACTACTCGACAGCCTGGCAGGAGGGATTCATTCCTGGGGCACCACTGGCCTCTGCTGCCCGCACGGAGCATAGCAGCTGCAGACAGCAGGCTCCCTGAGCGGTGGGGGGCTTCAGCATCACCCTCACAGCTGAGAGTGCCCTGGCCACCCCACACTGTCCCTGCTGCATTCCCTACTTCAGCGACTCTAAATCCAAGGGTGCAGATTTTTCCGGAAACTTTAAGGGCTGTGTTCCACTAGCCCCTGGGCCCGTCCTGAGCCTCAACACAAGACGCCCAGATGACAGGCCAAGGCTGAGCGGCGTGGCTCCCAAGTCGGCTGCCCTTGGCACCACCAGCACAGGTATTCCAGACTCCGAAAAGCCACCAGCTCCTCGTCCCCCACCCACATCTGAATTGTGACCTGCACAGGCAGCATGACACGCGGCTACCAGGATGTGGCAAATGCACGTGCTGCCCAACTTCCCTGAAACAGAAGCCCTCGGGGTACACGGCTGTCATCCCGAGACAGGCAGAAAGAAGCAGCCATTCTGAAGACTGTCCCACCATGCGGCGGGAGTTCTACAGGGATCAGGATGCGATAGCCCAGGGATTTGGGCGATGGAAGGCCCCGCATCTGGCCGGAAGCCTATGACCTGCTGGGGTCGTCATGGCAGTGCCGGTCCTTAAGGTCCAAAGCCTCTCTCAACGGAGAGAGGCTTTGAAGTCAGAGGGGGTGAGGGAGGAGGAGGAACGTGCCCCAGCACCTCAGTGACTGCCAAGCATCCCTGTGCTGGTTTCAGAGCATACTGCATCCCTCATAATTCTATGAAACACTTCAGAACAAATGCAGAGCTCCTCAGAAACAGGAGGTCACAGAGGCAACAGCAGGTGGTACCATCAGATGCACAGGGTCACTCTCGCCGCCACTGCCACCTGTGCATAGGCTGGTGGGGCGGTTCCATCTCCACGCTCCTCAGCGTCCTCTTTAAAATGGGTACACAGGATACTGACCCCCACAGGAGGATGACAGGCATGAAATGACAGCGTGCTTCTGAGCCAGTGTCTGGCCACAGGAAGAGCCTCCCAGCAAAGAACAGCTACCTTCACCACCGGCCACACACTGTCTCAACACCAGGTTTCTGAGGCCTCACTGTGCACACCTGAGGAAGATAAAGCTAAACAGCCCCAACCCAGCAGTTGGCCCAACATCACCACCACTGAGAACTCACAGCAAGCCTCCCACCACAGCGCAGGAACGAGGGGCCCTCCTGCCCATGCTGAAACAGCACCGAGCCTCCCATCACAGCGCAGGCGTGAGGGGACCTCCGGCCCATGCTGAAACAGCACCGAGCCTTCCGCCACAGCACAGGAAGGAGGGGACCCCCCTACCCACGCTGAAAGAGCACTGAGCCTCCCACCACAGCGCAGGCATGAGGGGACCTCCTGCCCACGCTGAAACAGCACTGAGCCTCCCACCACAGCACAGGCATGAGGGGACCTCCTGCCCACGCTGAAACAGCACCAAGCCTCCCACCAAAGTGTGGGCACGAGGGGACACCCTGCCCACAATGAATCAGCACTCTAAGAGTTCACCCGCAGTCCACATGTGATTTACACATGAAACCTTTGCTGACACAGCTGGCCAGAGAGACTTCTAAGAGGTATTTGCGTAAGCTGTTTGACAACCTTAATGTCAGACACATCTTTGGCTGTCATGACATACACTCTAGCAAGGCTTTTTTGTGAAGCTTCCTGACCTCTAGGGTCATTCTCTCCCTCCCTATCCATAGGATGAAGGGCAAGAGTCAGTACCCACCCACGTCAAGACACAATCCAAGCGCTGGGTGACGACGGTCGGTCACAGAGAGCAGCGAGTTCGCGGCCCGAGGCAGGAGTGCTGACTCGCCAGAGCAGGCGCCTGCAGAAAACGTGCCTGGGCAGAGCTTACCTAGAGTAACGTCTCAAAGGATGGCCACTGATATCGCCACTGTTACTCATCGTACAAACTGTCACAACACCAGGCCTCTTGGGCCTCCTTCTATATGCCTGAGAGAGATCAAACCAAAGCCTGGACCCTCATCACCTCTGGTCCCCACACTGTCCCCACCTGAGAGAGATCAAACCAAGACAGCCTAGACCCTCTCACCACCTCTGGTCCCCACAATGTCCCCACCTGAAAGAGATCAAACCAAAGCCTGGACCCTCATCACCTCTGGTCCCCACACTGTCCCTGCTGCACACCTGTCATACTCAGACACCATCCCTCTCAAACCCTACCCACTTAGTTCAGCTATGAAGCAGCAGCCAGGCATGGGAATGACCTCCATGACATCCCTGGCTCTTAAGAGTACAACACCAGCATTCCTAAGATCCCGTAGGACACAGCCAGAAGGCACCAGGGGCCACCCTCAACCCCACTCACTGCGCACCTGGGCTCTCCTCTCAGCCCTGACACCCCCAACTCTCCCCTCACCCGACACCCCTGGCTCTCCCCTCACCCCTGACACCCCCTGCTCTCCCCACTCTGCTCAAAGCAGCCTTGTCCCTGCTCATTACGGAGCCAGCTGCTTTCTCATCCCGCAGGTCCCAGCTTAAAGGGCAGCTCCGCAGAGAGGCCTTCCTTGTCACCCACCTAAAGCAGGTCTCTGTGTTCTCCTGTTGGGCTCCTCCTGAGAACTTAACACAACTTGCAATTGCTCTGTTACTGTCAGATGTGTCTCCCCAGCAGTCTGCAGTCTGTTAGGTGAGCACCATCACCACCCTGAGCCTAGCACAGCACCCTGCAGAAAGCAGGCGCTGAATAGAATGCACGCTGTGCAGTACAACCGCAGAGACAGAGCATGCTGGCCCAGAGGGTGGCCAGCTGCAAGACCACCTGAGTGGAAACACACCACTCCACCAGTGCCCACCCACCTGCCAGTCTCAAGACAGAAGGCACAGGTGTGAGTCCAGGCTCTGACACCTGCTACCTAGGCAAGTCACGTTACTAAATCCTAATTTCCCTATACAAAAGGGAGGGAAGAAAGAAAGGCAGGGAAAGAGGGAGGGGAGGGGAGGGGGCAGGGCAAGGGGAGGGGGTGAGGCAAGGGAGGAACAGGGAAGGGGAGGGGCGGGGCAGGGGAGCAGCAGTGGCAGGAGGGACAGATGAGGTCAATAATTTACCAACTTATTCCTAAGCACTCCAGGGGTCCTTGAAGGTGACAAAACCCCCATGCCCCTGATCCTTCAATTACAGCAGAGCAGAGCTCTCTCATTTGTTTAGGACAACTGGCTTCCACCTAAGACTGTGTTTGAAAACAAAGTGCCCGCCACTAAGCTGAGCTCTGTGCTGCCTGGGGCCGCAGGTCTGACACACACTGTGAGGTCTGGGTGAGGCCCAATCTCTGGGCTGACACCCAGGGCCCCACACACCCACCCTCCGTCTTGGAGCGGCCCCTGCCGCCGTCACCAAGGCCCACCTCATTGAAGACGATCCTGGACGGCGGTCTCTTTGTCGGCTTCACTGTGGTTTTCCACGTCCTCCCAAAGAAGTGCCGGTAAGTGACATCAAAGAAAGATACTCGCAGATGGCATTCAACCTCTGACAGTGCCTCCAGCATGCCCTAGAAGACAAGGGGGAAATGGCCCTGAAGGGTCTCGGCACCATGAGCCGGCAGTCACTGCAGGCCACGAGCGTGCACATGGGCCACTCGGCATTCACTCTTGCTTAGGTTATCAGCACCCAGTGTCCTTCTCGGGGGGCTACCTCCCTCCCACAGCCACTGGTCTTGGTGGGGTTATAAACCAAAGCACTCAGCCTCCCCTGGCCAATGAGACACCGCAGTCCCTTGGAACAGACGCAGGCTTCTTACTCAGCCAGAGCCCAGGACACGCAAGATGCAATGACCACAGGAGACAGGCGCCTGCCAGGATGAGGCCCAGGGCGGCCGGCAGCCAAGTGGTGAGAGAGAACAAGTCCAGGAGACATTACCTGAGACCTGGCTCAAACCACACCTGAAGCTTATGCTGGCTGTGGATTTGCTGCTGAGTTAACAAATCACCTCTCGCTTAAATCATTTTGGATGGGATTTTTTAATCATCTGCAACAAATGAGCCCTTCCTGATATAACCAGAAACTCTAAATCCTCAACCTGCCAGATTTTGGGGTGATATTAGCAAAGGAAAAAGCAGACCTTTGAGAATTGAGAAATCATGGCTACAAATACAGAACAAGGCAGCCAGAGCGGAGACAGGACTCCGCACCGAGACTTCACCACTCACAGCAAGTGCTGCCTTAGGCTTTGCTCTTCCGTGACAGGTTCCTACCTAAGACAGAGTCCTTTGCCTTCCACCCCTTCACTTAGCAAATATTACTTACACATCTATTCTGCACATTGACTCACTGCCAGGCACATTTCCAGGCAGTAGGGAAAGAACAGGGAACAGAACAGACCAAATCTCTGCCCTGACAGGGCTGACATGGAGAGTGGGGAGACAGGTGGGCAGGGCAGGGCAGTCTCTCTGAGATGACCCTAGAGCATAAGAAGAACCACAGGGGGTCTGGGAAGAGGAGCCAGGCAGGAGGAGCCACAAACTCAAAGGTCCTGAGCAGAAAACAGCACAGGTGCTCCGGGAGCCCATGAGAAGTGCAGAACTATATTTAGCTATAGTTAACTGTTTGCTTTTTTAAGAAAAGGGTCTCACTCTGTCACCCAGGCTGAAGGTCTGGCCACTGCAACCTCCCCGTCCCAGGCTCAAGCAATCCTCCTGCCTCATCTTCTCAAGTAGCTGGGATCACAGGTGCACTCCACCACACATGGCTAATTTTTGTACTTTTTGTAGAGGTGGTTTTGCCAGGCTGGTCTCCATCTCCTGTCCGCAAGTGACCCACCCGCCGCGGCCTCCCAAAGTGCTGGATTACAGGGCTGAGCCACCGCACCCAGCCTGTATTTTCTAATCTTCTCTATTACTGATGCTCTGGCATCTGGGGCCTCAGTGATGAGAGAGACTATCCCCAGAGCCAGCTAATTCCTAGGTGGCAAATGGCAAGCCTGCCAGAATGTGTCTAACATAAAACCAACCAGTCCAGGGCCCACACACCCCAGGAGTCCCACCCTCTGCACTGATCTTCCAGGGTCAGTGACCAGATACCTCAGGGCCATCCCTGCACCTCAGAGACCATGACATGACTCTCCCTGGCCACTGCCAAGCCTGTCCAGCTGCTCACCGCACCTTGCCCAGTCTTCCCACAAAACCATAATCAAGTCTCTGCCCACACCTCCCTTCTATCCTCCTGCCTCCTGACCAGCCCTGCGCCACCCCCAGGTGGCCTGTGGGACACGGACTGGCCCTCCTCCGGGGAGCCCTGAGTAAGCGAGAGGGTCTCAGCAGCAGGTGGCCTCACCACCCCTGATTGGAGACCAATCCCAGGTACATTCTAAGAAGAAAGCCTGCTGGACTGCAGCAGGCTGCGCCGGGGAAGAGAGGAGGAATGAGCTCCGGGCACAGGAGCGTTCAGGCAGGCCTCACAGTGCGAGAAGAAGCTGGGCTTTCACTCCAAACGTACAAGGAGGCCAGGGAGAGATCTAGCAGAAATGACACAATCTGATTCAGGATTTAAGAAAATTCCTGCAGCTGCCATGCGCCCGTAAGACTGTGGGGAGGGAGTAGACGCAAGGGCTGGTCAGGAGGCTGCTGCCCCCACCCAGGCAAGAGACGGAGGGGCAGGGAGGGCGACAGGAAGCGCGCACACCTGGGCTCTGGAGCAGCTGCATGGTCGTGAAGGGAGAAGCAGGAAGGACCACCTGACTAGGTCAGCCCAGCCCTCCCAGGTCCCACACTGAGTCCGCGTCTCAAGTGAAGTGACCTGGAGGGAAGTGGTGTTATCCATGGGGATGGGGAAGGTGGGCAGAGCAGGTCTGAGGACTCCAAGCCCAGCTCCCATCACCGTGCAGCCTCCCTGTCCCTCATCCCTCTTCCCCGTCCCTCCTCCTCCTCAGTTCCTCCCACATCCAGACCCACCCTACGAGCCTCCTCATCTCTCCCCAGAGCAATCACCCAGCTTTTCCATGTTGACTGTCCGTCGTCCCATCTAGCATGTGAACTCTGTGAGGACACGAGCCTGGAACAGTCTGTTCCCTGCTCTGTCCCTGGACCCAGGCAAGGCCTCAATGTATGCCCTTCCTCACCTGGACTGCCCAGGCTCCCCCAGAGCCCCCTCCTCCCCCTCTCCTGCACTCTCTCAGGAGGCCATCATCAGACAGGACCCCATGGCTCCCAGATCTGTCGCCAGCTTGGGCTTCTTTCCAGAATGCCAGACCCTAACCACCCTCCCTCCACCTCTAGCCTACTTCACACCCAAGTCTATTCAAAGAAGAATCCACTGACAGCTCCCTGAAGACATACAAGGCAGAATCCATTCTGTGTCCTCTGCACAGTTCCAAACATGTCACGGTGCCCAGTAAATGTCAAACTGAATTCAAATACGCATCCCAAAATAAAGAACTATAATGGGTGATCATGATAAAATTAAACAAAAAAAGCAAATGGGACAGTAAGAGAAATATACTAAAACCATTAATAAATTCAATTCAAAACAAGCACGTAACATTCTACAGCCAACACCTTTCACAGGGAAGAAAGCTGTAGCCATTATCTAAAGCTATCAATTCTCAAAACAACTAAAATTGGACAAACATAGACTATCTATACCAAACCTTTTCATCATCTATTTCCAAAGTTCTATTTCTAGAACTTACATAAATTCTATTTATCTTCTTTTAAATGCTGTATTTTGACTGATCTTTGTATATAAAATCAACACTGTGTTCCCGCAGTCAGCCCCACTTGATCCTAATACCCCAGCGTTTACACATAGCGCTGGTTTTGCAGTCCTGATATTTCCAGAGTTGCTGTGTAAATATTCACGAGGGACACCAGTCCGTACTTCTGCTGCACTGCCCTTGACTGGGTATCAGAATTATGGTGGCCTCAAAAAATGAGCTGGGAAGTGTTCCCTCCCTCCCGCTCTATTTTCTGAAAGAGTTTGTCTAGAATTCATCTTATTTCTTCTTCAGTATCTGATGAAATTCAACATTTTATTTTTAACATCTGTAGCATACATTATAGTGATGCTTGTTTCATCTTAATATTGGTAGTCTGTTTTCTCTTTTTTTGTCTTGATCAATTTTATCAATCTTTTCAAAGAATCAACTTCTAGCTTTACTGATTTTCTCTATTATTTGTCCTTTGCTGATTTCTACTCATATCCGTCAGGTATAACATAATGACATTTCAGCCAGCAACAGACTGTATATATGACTAGCCCCTGAATACTCTATTTTTACTGTTTTTCTATGTTTGATATACTGTTGTGTTATAATTGCTAAGAGTATTCAGTATGGTCACATGCTACACAGGTTTGTAGCCCAGAAGCAACAGGCTGCACCATGTAACCCAGGCGTGACACAGGCTCTGCCATCTAGGCTTGTGTAAGTACCTTCTATGACGTTTTTGAGATGGCAAAATCGCCTAACAATGCCATTTCTCTGAATGTATCCCCACTGTCAAGCAACGGTGCATAACTGTATTTACCATTTCCTTTCTTCTGATTACTTCGTATCTAATCGGTCCCTTTATTTCCATCGTTAAGGAAGAAGCAGAGGTCAATGATTTTCTACCTTCTTTTCTAATATAGTTATGTAAAGCTATACATTGCCCTCAAAGAACTGTATTAGCTAAATCCTGCAAATCTATGTATTTTCTTCCATTACTCAGTTCAAATTATTTTCTAATGTCCCTATTAAGTGCTCACTTTAGCAGCACATATACTAATTTTCCCATTCTTCTCTGATCTGGTGTTTTAATTTTCTGCTATTTAAGAATTTTCTAGATCTCGTATTATTTATTTCTAACTTAAAAGCACAGTAGTCAGTAAACGTACCTTATAATTTCAGTTCTTTGAAATGTACTGACACATTTTAATGGCCCAGCATAGGTCTATTTTGGTGACTGTTCCATATAAACTTGAGAAGAATGTGTATCCAAACTTTGTTGGGAGTAGTGTTTAAGAGATGTCAAGGTGACTGACGGTATTCTTCAGACCTTCTGAATCCTTATGAGTTTTTTGATCTATTTGTTTTTTCAATAATTGAGAGGAGTTAAAAGTCTCCAACCACGATTTTGAATCCAAATACAGTTCCCTTTAGTTCTGTCCAATTTTGCTCTTTTGTACAAAAGTTACCATAGCAGACCTGACTGTTACGTTTTCAAAGACCAGCTGACAAGTCTGGCCTTTGGCTGGAGTCTGGGAACTCAGATTTCAGGAGAGTTCCTACCACCTAACTGGTCAGAGGGGCACACTGCGCCTAAAGTGCACAGAGCAGCTTACGCCGAACACCAGTTTCCCTTCTAAGAGTCTGGAATTCTGGACCCAACACGGCACATGCGCTGTTACGGGTCACTGCTGGAGGAATCAAACGTATCCTGGGTGACTCAACTGAGGACTCTTGGAAGCCTGCATCCCCTTCCCCCAGACATCCCCCATACGCCTCCTCCCTTTGCCAATCTTGCTCTGTATCCTTCTGCTGCCGTCAATCTTAACTGAGAGTATGACTATATGCTGAGTCATGTGAGTCCTCTTGGAGACTCTTCAAACCTGGGAGGTGGTCTCGGAGGCCCTAACACCAGTGCATACACTTTTAGGGATTGTTACATTTCCCTGATGATCACTGTCTTTATGAAATGCTTTCTCTCCGGTAATACTCTTCACCTTGAAATCTACTCTTTCTGACATCGGAACAGTCACAAAGCTTTCTCAGCTTAGTATATACATGGTTGATATTTTTCCACCCTTCTCCTTGCAACCCGTTTATGTCTTTATGCTTAAAGTGGACTTTTTTGTAAACAACATGTAATTGGGTTTTAAATAACTTTTAACATATGACTTTGGACCAGGAATTCCACTTCTAGGAATTTTTCTACAGATATATGTGTACATGAAAAAAATGAGGTTATTCACTGTAGCAGTATCTGTAATAGCAAATAACTGGGAAAGTCTAAATGTTCTCAATATGGGCCTCACTAAATAAATTATGGCTCATTCGTACAAAGAAATACTGTGCAGTCTTAAGAAATAAGAAAATTTAGGCTGGGTGTGGTGGCTCACGCCTATAATCCAAGCACTTTGGAGGCAAAGATGGGCGGATCACCTGAGGTCGGGAGTTCAAGACCAGCCTGACCAATATGGTAAAAGCCCGTCCTTAAAAAGAAAAGAAATAAGAAAATTTTCTTCATGTAATAACATGAATAATCGATAAGATATCCTGCATGAATTTTTTTGAAAAGCAAGGTACAGAGTCAGGCACAGTGGCTCAAACCTGTAATCCCAGCACTTTGGGAGGCTGAGGTGGCCAGATCACATGAGCTCAGGAGTTTGAGACCAGCCTAAAAATGGTGAAACGCCATCTCTACCAAAAATACAAAAATTTAATTGGGCATGGTGGTGCTCATCTGTGGTCCCAGCTACTCGGGAGCCTGAGAAAGGAGAATTTCTTGAGCTCAGGAGGCAGAGGTTTACAATGAGCTGACATCATGCCACTGCACTGCAGCCTGAGTGACAGAGTGAGACCCCATCTAAGAAAGAAAGGAAAGGAAGAAAGGAAGGGAGGAAGGTAGGAAGGGAGGAAGGGAGGAGGGAGGGATGGAGGGAAAGGAAAAGGAAAGAGAGAGAGAAAACAGTATGCAGGAAGTACCATTTGCATTTTAAAAAGAAAAATCAATATAGGTATATTTACTTTCATTTGCTTGGAATTTATGAAAGTTATACAAAAACTTGCTGTATCTAGGGTGACAGGTGCATGGGGTTGCCATGGGATGACTCACTTTTCCTGTGCATCCTTGTCAACTTTGAACTATATGAATTACCTTTTCATAAATTAAAATGAATGGGGAAATAAAGTTTGCTTGCAAAATTCCTAGGAAAGAGGGAAGTACTATCAACTATCCTGTGAGCTTCTGGAAGGCAGCTGAGCCAGACGAGGAGGGTGGCATCCCAGCTAAAGTCATTCCCCTGGGCAGCTGACTCCACTCCTAGTGGGTTCTGTTGCTCTTCTGTAGAATGGGGGTAAGGTAGTGGCAACTTCACAGGGCTGCTGTGAGGACTAAGTGAATTCACACAGTAAAGTGCTGGAAGTAAAGCCGTAAAAGCAGCAGCCACCACAGAACCTACCACAGTGGCAAAGACACAGCAGGTGCTCAATCAGAGGCCTTGGATTTGAACGATGGAGAGCATCCGTGATTTAATAATAGTAAATTAGTCACAGACCCGGGGATCCAACAACTGAATATGTGTGAAACTCACTCTCCCAGCTGCAGAGGAAAATGGCCTTGCCAAGTCAAACCCTGTAAAAAGAGTTGACACCGGCAAGACTGATCCTTCTCATGCATTCCCATAGGCCACTGGGCCTCATGAGGACAATCCAATCGTGTGGGTGTCCTGTGGGCAGCAGCACAGAAGCACCAGCTTCTCCAGCATGTTCCCCACTAGCTGAAGGGCACAGATGGATGTGTCGCCATCAGGGCATGGGCCTGAGAGTGCCCAAAGCTGTGGTACATCCAGCCACGCACAGAGATGCCAGAATGCCCAGAGCTCAGCCCCTGCAGTCCTCACTGCCAGGCTGAATGCGGGCCATGCTGAGCCATGCACAAGGCCACCCGATTCAGAAATAACCCAGGAAATCAGATTACTTGGATTTTTAAATTGCTCCACTGTGGGCAGAAAGGAACCCTAGCCAGTGTCAAAAGTGCTGACCATGTCACTGAATCAGATTCTCTTTGCTGATGGGCCACTTTGCCTCCAAATACTGCCAAGGCCCGAGGTAATGGGTACAATGGCAAGATTCAAGTGAATAAGTGAAAATCAATACAGATGCTCTTTGACCTATCACAGGACTCCATCCTGATAAACCCCGTTTAAGCTGAAAAAATCCTATGTTCAAATGCATTGAATACACCTAGCTCAAACACGGTCAGAACACTTGCCTTTGCCTACAATTGGGCAAAGTCGCCTAACACAAGTCCTATTTTTAAATAACTGTTGAGTATCTCGTGTAATATATGGAAAACAGCACTGAAAGTCAAGAACAGAATGGCTGTGTGGGTATCACGGTAAAGTAGAAAAATCAAAAATCAAACCATTGTAAGGTGGAGACCATCTCTATGTGAACTGGAAGCGTCATCTCAGCTAAGAACAATGACAGCATGCATTTGATAACAGCACATTTTGTTACCTGCCTAATGATGGGTCCGTCCAGCCACTTCAGGACACACTGGAACGCTGCTGATTCCTTCACAGGCTGGCGTGCTCTCTGTGGGTGGGGAGGGACAAGCACGTTTTGGGTGAAAATCCTGTGCCAGTCGTTCATCCTGCCCATCTAAGGGTGACGCGGGCCTCCCAGGTGACCTGTGCCAGTCCTAGTCAAATAAAGAGAAGAGCTGTAAGGGGTACAGGGGTCACAGCAGTCCTGAAGGCTTTTGCCTCCCACTGAATCCCAGAGGAACTTCCATTCCCCCAAACCCACACTCTGCAAACCAGTGGAGTGGACTTTGCGACTGGCTGCCACCCATGCTGCCTCCCCCGGGAAGTACCATTTGCATTTTAAAAAGAAAAAATTAATGTAGGTATATTTATTTGTTGTATTTGCTTAGAATTTATGAAAATTGTACAAAAACACACTGTATCTAGGGTGATACATCAGGTGCCTGGGGCTGCCATGGGATGATTCATTTATTCTGTATAACTCTGAACCATGTGAATTACCTTTTCACAAATAAAAATAAAATGAAATGGGGAAATAAAATCTACCTCCAGAAACACTCCGCCCCACCCCTACCCCCGTGGGCCAGACTCAGAGCATGACTCTCTCGGCCTCTGTGGCTGATTCCGGATGGGGAGGGACATTTTGTTCAGCTGTGTAGGTTAGGTACTACACAAGGACACCAGGGGAACGTGGCCACTGAAATAGAGCCCTAGTGTAGGACCATCTTGTAGGGGCCCAGGCCCAAGAGGTGGTCAGCCTGAAACGACCCAGGGCCACCTTAGGACACACATAAAAACATGCAGAGGAGGTCCACTAGATCCACGTCATTATCAGAGACCTTGGCCAGTGACCCCAAGATACTTCGGCTACATGAGCAAAGTCTCTTGTTGCTAAAGCCATTTGGGGACAGGTTTCAGGTGTTACCAGTTTCTTGGTGGGACCTGGCCCATTTTGAGTGTTATCCGATCTCATCCAGCCAGACCACGATCTAAATCTTCTCTAGCCAACACAGAATCCAAAGATCTGAACCTCAGGAAAAGGTTGAATTCTGTAAATTAAAATGTGAGTAAGGAGAAAAAGCAGTGGGTTTGGGCTTCAAGACAGCAGCTCTCTAAGTATGGTCTCCAAACCCAAGATTCATCAGGATCCTGTCAGAGGCTCTACAAGGCAAAACCATTTTCATGACACCCAGATGTGATCTCTTTCACCTTGGTGCTGTGGTGGGGCAGAGGCAGCAGCCGGTAAAGTCGTTGGGGCCTCACTTAACCCAAGGCTGGTTGGGTTGAGTGAGGTCCTCCCAACTTCTCACAGAAAAGAACAAGGCAGCTTCAAGCCACAGTATCCTTGCTGAAGCTGGGAAAACCATTAATCTGATTATATCTTGACTGTTAAGTACACGCCTTAACATCGTGAGACAAAATGGAAAATCCACAACAAGCACTTCTGCTACAAACTGAAGGCTCAGTCATCCCAGGGAAGCCTCGCTGCGGCTGGGCTGCGAGCTGAACGCACTGCTTTTTTTATTCAACACCATTTCTGCTAAAAAGAATGACTGAGAGACAAAACATGGGTACTTGGCAGACATTTTCTCAAACGTGAACAAAGTGAGCATGTCACTTCAGGGAAAACAACTGTAATAAAAATGGAGTTCCCAAGCAAAAATTAGAATTGAGAACATTTGCATCCTCCACCATGAGCCTACCAGCTTCGCACGTCTTCAAGACCTTCCTGATGAGACTGGCAGGGATATCAAGTGGTCGTCTAAGGTTACACCATTAAATGTGTCAACAGTTGGAAGGTCTGCACGACCTTGTGAACCACTGTTTTCCAAACAATACGTAATGGTACGAAATCCTGCAAGAAGAAAACGCCCTACTCCAAGAATGTGATGAAGTTGTCAGGAAAAAAAAACAGTAAAGTATCTGCCCAAAGTCAGACAGACCAGAGGATTTTCATGTCAGACAATGAAGAGTTCATTCACATGGTGGAGACTCCGCTTTAGAACAAATCTTTAAGAAAATTCTGCTCAGGGGGTTTTCAGTGCAGCAGCAAAGAATATCCAAAGAATGATGCAAGAGACTCCTCCCTAACGAGATGGGGATGGATTTCCTTCACATACTTAAACCAAGACGACACAGGGCAATAGACTGAACACAGAAGCAGACAGGAGCCTTCAGCCGTCTTCTCTTAAGGAGACTGTAAAGATATTTGCAAAAATGCAAAAGAATCCCACCCTTCTATATTTGTTTGTTTTGGATAATATAGTTGGTTTTTGTAAAAAATGTTTTTATGTTAACATGTCACAGCTTTATTGTTATTTTTAAATAAATTAATATTTTTAACATTTCTCAGTTTCAACTTCTATGGCAGTAAACATTGGTAGATATAACTCACGTGAACAAAAGTGCTTTGGGTAAAGGTGTCTGAGACCACAGCATTTGAGAAGAGTCGTCCTAATGGTTCACCCCTCCATGCTCCTGGCCTGTGTGGGAACCGAGAGAACATGGCCAGGTAGCCTGGGATGCCCCTGGACCCCAGGGCCTTGGCCCAGGGTCCTGCCTTCACCCACAATGGACCCAGATGCTGCCTGTGAGCCAGGTACTCCTCAGCAGACCACAGTCAGTCTGGTCCTGTGTGAATCCAGCAGGCACACAAGTTGGTTTGTTGCTTTTTGTTCTCTGTGCGCCATTTTTGTCACTCAACCGCCCTTGTTTTGTGGAGGACCCTCACCCAATTCCACGTGTGGGGAGGGCTGCTCTCCAATTCCAGCCAAAGGCCTGCAGTGATTGATTCAAGGAGGAACACATGACCCACACTGAGCCATCCATCTTCCCCAGGAGACTGGAGCCCAGGCTGTCTCTCCTCCAGTGCCCACAGCTGCCCACACAACGCCAGCTCAGAGCCCCAGGAGCCACCTGGCCACCACAGGGAAAGCAGACTTTGGACTTCTGACCTCCCAAACTGGAAAAGAATAAATTTGTGCTACTTTAAGCAACCAGGTCTGTGGGACTTTCCAACAGAAGCCACAGGAAATCATACAGCTGCCCACGACTAATAAGCAGAAGATGCCTGACCAATACCAGCTCAAGAGCCACCTCCTCCAGGAGGCACATGGCCCCTGTGCTTCCCCTGGTCACAGCATCTGTCACCTGTCTAGTGTTGATCTGCTCACTGACCAAGTTCTTAAAGAAAGAAGTCACCTCCTGTGTCCTTGGTACCATCACAACTCAGTAGCCAGTCACAGGATCAAACTGAAGCTTTAGCAAGGCTACCCTCAAGCTTTTCTCCCCCACTGACATTTTATAACATTCAGAAGAGTATTCACACAAAATGCAGGCCGTGATGGCCTCGGGTGGGGATTTTAGAGAGGAAGTCTTTCCTGATGCGGATGCCCATGCTCCTCACCTCCTATTTCTGACCTGGTGCCTCCTGCCCTCTCCCTGGATGTTTGCAGGACACTGCTGAAGGATGTGTGCATGCCAGTCCACCATCACAGGGGCCACGAAGCATGCCGGCCCCCTACTGTGCCAGCAGGGGACACACTAGGCAGAAGGGCATCCATTCTGAAAGCACCTGCCACCCGCAAGGAAGTCCTGAGGCTTGAGATTTGGAGGCAGGGCAGCCACAGTCAGAGGGGCCATGGAAGACGAGGGTACTTCTGAGACTGTGGGGGTGGGAGCTGAGGTGGCCGCAGGGGCTCTCACTGCCCTCCCAGCACCTCACAAACCTCTCCAGGTGCCCTTCTGCCTGCTCCTCACTCCTTTCCAACACTGCACTAGCCTGCAGGAGTCAAACCAAATGCTGCCTCCTCAGAGCCCCATCTCTACCTCTGGCTGCTCCCACTCGGTGCAGGTGACAGAAGAGCCAGCATGCTTCACCAGGGCTATGCTATTTTCCTGTGAGACTGTGAGCTCTGTGACGTCAGGCTGGGTCTTCAGCAAAAGTCTTTTTTTATCTTTTTGAGACGGAGTTTCGCTCTGTCATCAGGCTGGAGTGCAGTGGCACAATCTAGGCTCACTGTAAGCTCCGCCTCCCGGGTTCAAGTGATCCTCCTGCCTCAGCCTCCTGAGTAGCTGGGACTACAGGCACACGCCACCAAACCCAGCCAAGATTTGTATTTTTAGTAGAGTGGGGTTTTACCATGTTGGTCAGGATGGTCTCGTTCTCTTGACCTCATGATCCGCCCGCCTCGGCCTCCCAAACTGCTGGGATCACAGGCAGAGCCTTGGCGCCCGGCCAGCAAAACTCTTTTAAGGATGAAATACCAATGCCCCGAAAGAAGTGCAGCGGGCCTCTGGGGCCAAACAAACAATAAGATAAATGGACAGGGCTCCAGGTCTTGAACCCAAGGAAAGGGTACAGTGGGCTCTCCAGGAAGAAAATACGCCCATTTTTATTGAGCCCCTGATGCAAGACAGGTACTCACAAACATTTCCACGGTTACGGTTCCAACAGTTCTGCAAAATGAGAATCGCCATTATCTCCATCTTACAGATGAGAAAACTGAGACTCAGAGAGGTTAAGTAGCCAATCCAAGGTCACAGGGCTAGCTATTGTAACTAGCTATTACAATAGTATTATAGTTATAATACTGTAAACTATAAAACTACCTCCCCCTACCTCAACCAAGGAGGCCAAGAGAGGCCCAGAGGGAAAGAGGAAGAGCACCAAAGGAACCCAGGGACCCAGGGCTAATGTTCTCTCCTCTTTAACTTCAGGACAGACACTCAGCCTCCCCACCTGTTTCCAACCTCCAAAATGAGGGCTGTGAAATCTCCCTTAGATCTCTCAGCAACTGTTTCCCAAGCACTTGTGTTCCAGTGCATAAGGCGGCTGTGAAATGCGCTGCTTCAAGGATCTAGAAGGCCAGCGGGGGAGAAAGACAAGGTGTGCGTCAGCAGCACACAGGGCAAGGGCACCAGCCTAACACAGCTCCCCTCCATCCCCAAAGGGTGCAGAGGTGGGCGGGGCTGAAGTCCCACAGATAGCGGTTCCCAGGAAAAGGAAAGCGCAGGGGGTAGGAGGCGCTGCCAGGATCCAGGAAGCCTCCTTCCCAGAATGGAAAATGTGTATTGCCTGAGACCCAGATGCCTTGGGGAGCTTTTGGGGAAGCAGAAGCCTGATTAAGCACTGCCTGGAATTCCCTCATTCACGAACATTCTTCCAGCACCTACCCTGAGCCCTGGAGAAACGGTCTTGAACACAGCAGACAAGCTCGCTGCCCCCATAGAACGTATAGAAAAAGGACACAAATTAGCACACACAAAAAAGACAGTAACCTATGGAAACTGCACAGGGGAGCTGCAACGAACAGAGCCCTAAGTCAGAACCAGGTGACGCTACCCACGGTCATCAGAAACGCTCTCTTTTTGCCAACTGCACACACGTGAGAGGCTGGATTTCCTTCGCAGACGTCCACCAAAGCCACACATGGCGACATATGGAGACAAAAAGCAGCGGTCACCTAAGAAGACAGACATGAGGAATCTCGGGCAGCAGGGGGGCCTGCACGTGTGGGGAAGGGCACGCGGGAGCGGGTGTCGTGTTCCGGGTCCGGTCGGCCGGGAGATCCCAGGGCAGGAAGGGGGCGCGGAAGGCCGAGGTGGCCCCGGACAGAAGAGAGCCTCGCGGGCACGCCCGAGGGCCGCAGAGCAACAGCCGGGTACAGCAGGAGGGAAACGGGGGCGAAGGTGGGGTCCGCGGGCTCCGGCCGGGGAAGGATGTACGCAGACCCAAGAACCAGGTCAGCGGCACCACAGTTCCTTCAGCCGAAGGGCTGCAGAGGGGGCAGGAGGCAGGGGGCAGGGGGCAAAGGGCAGGGGCAGAGGGGGAATCCACGTAGCCCAACTGCAACCGGCGGCCCGGGCCGCACCAAGTGTCCCGACGAGGGGGGAAGCCTGCGACTGACGCGGGGACAGGCCTCGCCGAGCGCCGCCGCCAGACTCCAGGCACCCGGCCCCCACACAGAACGGCACGGACCATCCTACCCCAGAACCCCGAGGCTCCGGCAGACACTGCAGCCCGGTGCGCCTCGAGGCCGCGTCCAACCTCCCCCGTGGCGTTGGCCCACATGGTTCCGCCCGCCGCGGGCCGCGTTACCTAAGAGACCGGCCCGCCGCGGCCACGCCGGAGGCCGCGGAACCCACGCTTTTGAGAGAGTCCCCAGTCGACAGACCCAAAGGCCCGGCAGCCGGTGCTCAACGCAGCCGGAGGCCTTAAGGACCGAAAACTGGCCGAGGGGCGCGCCCCGTCCGCTGCCACCCGCGGGAGGAGCCTTGGAAGGCTGCGCGCGCCGCGCACTTCAGGCCGAAAACCCGCTTCGCGTCACTTTTGCCGTCAGGGCCGCGGAGCCAATCAGAGCCCAAGTCGAGGGCTAGGCTTCGCGAGCGCCAGCCAATCGGTGCGGCGGCGGGCCCGTCCTGATTTGCATGTCCGGCGACCCTGCAACCAATGGTAATGTGACTGGCGTGAACAACAGCCAATTCGAAGCTGGAAGAGGCGTGGCCCCGGGCGTCCCACGAGGTGAAGATGCTGCTGGCGGAACCTGCCGGAGCGAGCGGGATTCGGGGGCGCTAAAGTCGCAGGGGCTGGGCGGGAAGGAAGATCCGGCGTGGGGCTCAGGATCCGGAGCTGGAGCCCCCAGGTGAGTACGGGGGAGACCCCGGCGGGGCGCGCTTTCCCCCGACCTGCGCCGGGACGGCGGCAGCGGGCACCCACGAGGCTCGCGCTGCGGCAGGCGCCGCGGTGCCGTCTCCATCTCCTCTTCCCCGGCCCTGCGTCCCTGCCTCCGCCTCCATCTCACCTCCTCCTCAGCCTCCTCACCTCCTTCTCCGTCGTCTCCCTTCCCCCATTCCTTCCTCCCTTTCCTTCGCGGTCCTCCCGCCCGACCCTTCAGCTCGCATCCCAGACCCCTGCCCCTGCCGCCGTCCCTCTCCTTCACCCCGGTGCACCTCTTCCCCGTCTCGGCCCGCTCCGGTCCCCGCAGCCTCGCCCTCCCCTTCCCTCCTTCCTCCTCCCATCCCCTCTCCCGGCCTTCGCGCAGCCCCACCGGGGCGCTGCTGGTCCCGGTCCTCCCCATCTCTACCCCCGGTTGCTCCTCAAGGCTCACCCATCATTCTCGCAGCCTGTCCCTGTATCGCTCCGGTCCTTTTCTCCATCGTCCCTCCCTCCCATTCTGCTCCCAGCCCCTCCGACCTCTCCCCGCGGGCACGCTCTCATCACCTTACCTGGCTCCCCAGGACTGTGACCCTGCTTCCTGCACCCGTTCCTCGAGCTGTCTACACCCTTGAGCCCCTACTATCTTAAGCTTCTCCCTCCTGCCAGGCCTTGGCACAAAGCACTTCCCTACCTGCTGCTGCTCCCAGGAGGGATGCAAAGACCCCGCTGCTGCACCACGTCCTGCGGCACTAGCAGTGGCAGCAGTCGGGGTACCTGCCCACTTTCCCACCCCCCCATCCAGGCGCATCCTGGCGTTGCTCCTCCTGCCATTTGTCCTGGGGCCTCCTGCAGGGGCTGTGCTTTGCCTGCAGCATCCCAGGGTGCTCCAGGTGGGAAGCCCCTTAACACCCTTCCTCCCTGGCCACCATCTCCCTCCCTCCCCGCCCCCACTTTCCTGCTCAGCCTCACTTTGTGATTCAGCATTTTTGGGGTTGGTAACTTTCTTGCTTCCTGTAGTGATAGGGACCTGGCCACGAAACTGAAGGCAGGGGGTCTTGACCCTGCAGTTAGAGGGCTACCTTAGGAACCGGACCTGAGCTGCCTGGTTGGGAGGGGGCTGAGGAGCTGGGGACAGCCAATGGGGATGGCCTTTTCCTCCCTTTCATTTGTCTGCCCTGTGTTGAACTGTGTCCAAGCGGAGATGGCATAAGTAATAGCTATTGGGGAAATGGACTATTAGCATTTATGGAAATTAATACATCCACATCCGAGGAGCAGGAACACCAAGTTCAGGCCACAGCTGTCCCACTGTCTGTCGCTTCAGGATTTCTTCTTTCTCTGCAACTTCTCCCCCTCAAAAACGCCAGCCTCCTCCCTCCCCTTCCCCCCAGTGCCAAGAGTAAGCTCCTGCTTTGCTAAGGAAGCCGCATTCAGGCCCCGCGTTGCAGGGTTTGGGGACCTATGTGTGAAGAGTCGCATCTGCCCACCTGATTCTTGCCTGGTGGCTCTGTCTCCCCCAGAACCCTGTGCAGCTCCTGGCCCTGTGATTTGACAGTGTGGGGCCGTAAGAATGCACTTGGTCCCCCAGGTCCTGCCATTCTTTCTGGAGACAGCTCTCCAAAGCCACACTCGGCCTCGATGGCACTGACGGTGTTGGGCTGCATGCAGCACATCTCTGCCTGGAAAGCAGCATGGTAGAGGCTTCCCTGTCCATACCCAGGGCCATTTTTTTTCCCTGCGCCAGTCAGCACATGCTTTGTCAGTGCTAATCGGCACCTGGGGACTGAGCCGGGCACTGGGGCTGGTGGTGTCGTAAAAAGTGTGAAACCCTTGTCATGTGTTTCTTGGTTCACAACCATCTTAGTCTGGATACAGAGCTGGATGGGAAGCAGGGTGCACAGAAGCCATCACACCCAGGAGATGGGACATGGGCCACCATGCTAGGGAACTGGAAAGACCGAGGGTGCCACGGGATGGCCAGCTAGAGAAGGCTTGCTCACTTTCTTTCCTTTTTCAGCAATCTTCTAAGACCCAAATGATTCAGGAGGAAGTGAGCGCCACACGGTTTTGATTTGGCAGTTTCCGGCCTGGGCTTGGAGGGAGGGACCTCCCCCAGACCTTCCTGTGTGTTGGTGCTCTGCCATGGTAACATGCTTCCATTTCCAGGGACTCTGGCCAGGAGTGGCATGTGTTTGGTTCTTGGCTAAATTATCTGTGATTGTCACGTTGTTAGAGTTCCCAGAGAGAATGTTTTTCTGGGGTCCCTGAATAAGGAGGCAGGACAGTGGGCCACTGGGAGCGGTATTCGAGAAGGTTTGATGCCAGAGGTGTCTAAGGCCATAGACCCATGCCTCCCACCAGTCCCCTTCTCAGCACCAGGAGGACTTGGGTCGTGGCCACCCAACAGCCGGTCATCCTTGCTGCCAAAGGACTAAATGGAAACCCAGAGGACAGAGGCTTCTCCAGGGTCACACAGCGGCAGTGACAGAGCTGGGTTGGACCCCTTATTTCCTACTTATTTGAGCCCAGTTCATATCTTGGCTATCCGAGCTGGGGGAAGCTAGCACACCAGGACATGACCGGCTCTCTCTTGGGAAGGCCACTTGGAGGCATTGCTGACGTTCATGGTAACAGCCAGTGCCCTCAGGTGTGTCCCAGTTGCTGGAGGGGCTGTTGGGAACGGAAGGTGCCACTACCGTGGAGATTTCTCAGTGACTCACTCTTGCCTGGCATGCAAAGGTGCTGTTGTTCATGGCCTTCAAAGAGACGGCCCCATAGGTAGAGAAGAGTGAGGGCACCAGGTCCCTGGTTGGATGAGGGAGAGGAGGGACCCTCCCCACACTGGAACTGCACTCATGACCTCAGTTCACCTCAGGCACTTTTAAATAACCCTGCGAGGGTGGCTGATAGGGAAACTGAGGCACAGGGCAGCACTGAAACTGATCCCGGCCTTCCAGGTAGCGAGGAAACCTTAATTCTGTTCCTGCCCTGCTAGGATTCTGTGGCAGGTGCCCCCTCCACCGTCACCCCTGCCCCGTGGACCTGAACAGATGCTGGGCCCTCATGTCCTTTGCCACATCCTGGGAAGCCCAGATGAAGGCCGGCCTCCCTCTTCCTGCACACCCGCCTTGGGGTGAGCCCTGGGCTCAGGCCCCTGCCTGAGGGTGCCCTCTGGTACACCCAGGTTTCCACTCAGAAGCCTGCTAGCTAGGGTCTCAGGAGGCCACTCCCTGCTCTGCCCAGTGACCACGTGGTTAGCCCGGAAACCTGGGTTCTTTGTGTTTTCAGCTGCAGAGCAGTCCCCATGCCCACCCCGCCAGCTTCCGCAGCACCTGTCCCCTTACAGGCAGCCCCCCTCCGTTTCTCCAGCACATGGGCACCCACAGAGCTAACTGCTTTGATGCCATGCTAGTTGCAGGTAAAATAGTATTGGGAAAAGGGGGAAGTGGAGAAATGGTGGGGACCACCTTCCTGGCTTCCCGCCTGCGCCTGGACCCAGGGATAAGGCTTTCCTGCCTGTGGTCTTGAGCCCTGACTGCCAAACGGCCAAGAGTCATCACCCGACTCTGTGGCTGGGAGCCAGAAACGGGTTTCTTCTCAGACCCCGCACCAGATTCAACCCGTTGTACATGGGCCAATTTTCTGGAACGACCTCCTGGGTCCAGTAGACCCCTGAGGTCTGGTCTGCAGGGGTCCTCTGTCACCAGCCTGGGCTTTCTCCTCGCCAGAGACTTAGCTCTCTGAGACTCTGGCTCTCTGGCCTACTAAGCTGAATAGATCATTCATGTGTCCCTCTATCTGGATGGGTGAACTGGTGCCTCACAGTAGGAGCCTGGGGCCAGTCCCTGGCACACAGTGGGTCCTGGGTAACTGTCAGCTCCCCTTCTTCCAGTCGGAAGCGGAGACCCAGCCACCATCCTGCCTGGAGCTCAGGTGGTTCCTGGGCAGCCAAACCAAGCTCCCAGGCAAACCGGAACAAAAGAACCTGGGTTTCCTTCTGCATGGTTTCCTGAGAACCCTCGGCAGTCCCTCAGCTGGAGAGCCCCACTGCGTGATTTCACAGTGGAGAAGGAAGGAGGGAAGGAAGGGGAAGAGAGGGCAAGAGGGGAGAGCCCATTGTCCTGATCTGCAGGAAACAGCCTCCCTGTCAGGGAGGGACACTCCTGGCCTGTTATCTCTGACCTTGGGCCTCGTGGAGGGCCCACAAGCCTGCTGGATGCCCCCTGCACACCTGCCCACCTGTCTATCAGATTCTAGCAGCCCCTGGGCACCGAAGGGGTTGCAGAGCCATGCTCTGAGCATGCTTGCCCTCCTTCACCATGGATGTGTTTTCATTTTTCACCCCCTGGCAGCTTCATGATCTTTCATTGTAATCTCAGACCCTGGTATCCACAAGCTGTCAATGCAGCCTAGAGCAGAAGGCTCTAGAATTCTGCCTCAGAGCCCTGTGATCCCAAACACTCAGCCATGCCAGGGGATCTCTGGAAGGGATATTCTGCCATCCCTCCTAGATACAGGAGGATAAGGAATAACTAGAGTGCATGGGTAAGGAGATTCAGCTCCATCTATTCACTAGAAAACAAATTTGAATTTAAAACATTGTTTTACCAGTGAAGGGCGAAGGCCTTTGCAGCAGACATTTGAAGGAACAAGGATGAGCGAGACCCACCTCCGGCCTCCAGGGCTGAGAGCCAGGAAAGGGGTGCAGTGACCACGCGCTCAGAACAGCCAGAGAACACCCTGCTGATGGGGAGGGAGAGATGGGGGCAGGGAGGACATTTGACCTGGACCTTGAAAGACAGGCAGGTTGTGATAGGCAGAGCTAAGGAAGGACAGTCTGGGAAAGGGCTCTGCATGGGCAAGGTCACTGGGAGGACTGGGCGGGCTGGATGACGGCCAGAGGCCCAGTGCGGTCATAGTCTGGGGCATGAATATGGGTGAACAGGATGACTAGAAGGAGGAAAGCAGGGCCAAGGCCACCATGGG